TACCATAAAGTGCGCTATGAGGGAAATTTTGATCAGACTATTCTTATTTTGAATTCCATCTACCAAGTGATCTTTATGTGCATGCCAATGTGAACACAGTTTTCCGTTCCATGTGAACAACTAGGCTGAAATGGAAAGTTTACCTGCATGTTAAAAAAAAACAACCTTGGCTGTTAAAAGATGAACTGTCTAGTCGTTCAGATGGAACGGAAAATCAAGGTCCTGTGTATATATTAAACGTAACAGATCCCTTGGCAGTCGGAATTTTATATGAGAGTAGGCTATAGTGCCGTTGCCCCTACAAAATTTCCCTCATAGCACACTGTATGGTATATGCCATTCTTCATAAGCCCAGTTGGAGCAGAACAGTAGGACATTAAACCCCATTTCATTTCATTTTGTCTCTAACAAATTGTGTATCGGACAGATTGATGGCTAAAACTGTGAATGAAAACTGTGGTGGTGTTAATATAAAGACAGTAATAGAATGCTGGGGGTTGCTAGGTTCTACATGTTCTCGTTTATAATTAAACCTTAGACTGGGATACAGAGTTTTACAACCTTCGACTGAATACCATGCTACAGAGTTAAATACACATGACTAGATTAATGGATGGCATCATGGTGGGGTGGATTTACAGGGTTGTAATTATTTGGTGGATAAATAATTTGAAGAATTGCACTGCATGTCACTTACGCTCGATTAAAACCAGATTCTATCTGATACGACTTCGATTAAACCATAAGGGAATATATTCCACATATATATTGAGCCCCCTGCAATCTTCTCGTGCAGTTCTAAAATACATACATATCCTGTAGCTTAAACATACAGTATGTAAGAGCTAAATCTGCCTATTGCAAGTCTTTATTTAGGCTTCAATTGTTATATAAACTATTATTTAGACATTTATTAACATGACAAGCCTATAATCAACTCTGATCGTCTCGTATGATTCTGGCTAAGTGGGTAAGATGCTGGCTCGCTAGCCTGAAGGTCGGTTGTTCGATCCCCCGCATTGGCCGAGAAAGTTCATCTTGATTTTCCACCGTTCGGATGGGATGAAAACTGAGGTCCCGAGTATACATTTGCTTGTACGTAAAAGATCCCTTGACATTTGGAATTCGATATAAGAGTAGGCCATAGTGCTGCTGCCCGGGCAAAATTTCCCTCATAGCACACTGTATGGTGTATGCCCGTCTTCATAAGCCAAGTGCAGGAGCAGAACAGTAGGACATTAAACCCCATTTCTCATATGATTCTATATAACTATCGCATATTCTAATGTTTAAAGAGGCAGAACGGCAAATGTATTTTTTCATTATATAAAACTAGTGCATATTGCATACCGATAGTCCATTGGCCAATCACGCTATTTTACCAAGATTTCCCCAAATAGTTTGGATGCAGCTATGGCGGATGTGCCGCCAGGCAGGGTAAGCGTACTCTTCCGGACACCTGTTACCATTGTTTGTCGTGTATTTTGTACAAGGTGAACAGTCCATATGCTGACTACACTATTTTGCCTATACCGTTTTTTTAGGACTTGGAATTTTGTCTAATGGTTTGGATTGCTCGTACTTGGTTTTATTTTAATTCTAATCTTGTTTGTGTTTTGTAAGTTTTTGGAAATGGTTGACCATCAAAAGGATTGGCGACTTGAAGAAATAACTCATTATATACTACATCTAGAGTTATTGCCCTTTGCTATGAAGTCTTGATAGCCTCCTACAGACTTTAATTATATGGCACGACCTTTTGAAACTGTTATGATGTTCAGCTTGTAGCTGTTCGGAGTACGTAGCAGCTGCTGCCTGGGCTTATGTTTTGTTGCCTAGCAACCTATCTATACTTGGCTGGAGGGAGTTCATTATTGTTTTCATTATTGTATTGTTGTAGATTTTCTTAGATTAATAAAAATGTCATTTTTTTTTTCAGCATCCACCCTGCCTTCGTCACCTCTGTATGTATTGGTACATGTAGATAATTTATTTGATAAAATAGAAAATATGCTGAGATCAGCTATAACAGATCAACCAACTAATACTACAATCTTATATCAGGTACCTTTTATATTATAAGCTCTTCCTTCCCAGACCTCCCATAGACTTGTACCACTTACTGCCTTTACAATCTTATAATCAGGTGCTCTCTAGTCTCGGTCACCCAGAACCTCTTAGCTCTTCCTTCCTGGACCTCCTATCCTGTACCACTTACAACAGCTATAAATACTACCTTTACAATCTTATTATCAGGTGCTCTCTAGTCTAGGTCACCCAGGACCTCTTAGTCTTCAACGTACAGAGAGTCTGGGACCGAGAGTCTGGGACCGCCTCAAAAACTTTTATAATGCAAAGACCACTCAGAGAGAGAGAAATAAACCAGGTCATTTCAGGACTAACATATGGTTCAATTTTATTTCAATAATTTGCTTGTGCGTAGGGGTCATTAGCAGAGGGAGGAAACCGGAGGACCTGGAGAAAACCCACGAGGTTGGACAGGCGACCCTAATCCTTGTCATGTACAGCCAGGGAATCAAAACCACGTCAGTTAACTCAGTGACAGACCTTATGATACAACGCACATATGCTAACCATTCAGCCATTCAACCTCGCCTGATAAAGCTATAAACAAATGCTTAAGGCATTGTACACAAAATGAGTTGGGATCCACAGTTTTTCTTAACATCGAAATGGGACTGAACCTGGGACCTATTTGTTAGTTAGCCAGCACCTTAGTCACTGAGCCACCATGGCTCCCGGGAGTACCAAACAATTATTATATTGAATTATATCCATTATTTTATGTTATCATAAACAATCTGTTTAAAACACAAATCATATTTCATTTCTATTTTATAGTTCAAAATTTTGTTTTAATTGTCTTTACTACACTAGGATCTGGAAGAGTTGTTATATAACTTGCGTCCTAGTTGATGTAAGGAATTAGCCAATGAAACGGTCTGTTATGGCGAGTTCTTGGAGTGCTTGCACAGAACTGTGGGTAAACCCCCTAGAAACGTCAATGCTGATTGATTAATCAATGTCTGACGTCATAGAGTTAAAAGCGCTCATATGACCCCTGATGCAACCTCCCAGTACAACTGTTCAGATCTTCATGTAGTTTAAATACCTGAAATATAGATCTGTATTTAAATCAGATTGTGTTGTATGTATGACACTAAATATATTAAAGATACATTATGGGAGATTCGATAACGAGTTGGCAGTTCTCACTATAATAAAAACTAAATAACGTAAAGGCAATTTGCTGAAAATTTCATTCAAATTGATCCACTATGAACCGAGAACTAAGCGAATGAAATTTCTGCCTAGCCTCGGTCATCATTACTAAATCAGTACGTTACACAGCATAGTCTCGATTATCCATTTAATTATTTAATCGAGAAGGAAAGTTATGCAGTAAATCGGTTCACAATCCACTTAAGATCGCAGGCTAGCGATGCCATCTAGAGTTGATTATGGTCTGGATAAGTTAATTAATGTCTAATTAATAATTTAGATAACAATTCAGGTCTAAAGAAAGACCTGCAATAGACAGATTTAGCTCTTGCATAATGTATGTTTAAACTTATCTTGATTCACATTTTGTTTTTCTCTAGTTCTGGAATCATCTACCTCTCATTGTGAACTTTTTATACCAAGTTGAAACCATGAAGAACTACCCTGAGGCCATTTTTCTCTCCCGATTATCTCTTCACTGGAATTGGCTGTACAATAAATTGTTGAAACCTCTGATAATGGCTGCTACTAGCAGGTAATCAAACGCAATTCTTGTCAACAATTATCTCTAATAGATCGTCGTCCAACAATAGTTACGCTGATTGTTCATGATAAATCTGTATAATAAAATGTCGCAGGAACAACGAAATCTAATTACTGGTTTGAAATTGTTTTCTTTTCGTGCGGAAATCATACTTCAGCAGAATATGAAGAATCTCTTAAGATAGTTTTGAAAAACTGAAGTAATTTTATTTCCACTTTTCTTCCATTTTCGTGAATTGAGTAATTTGAATTGAAGTTTGAATGGATGATCAATTTAGTCCACATGAAGAATACTGAAGAATTGTTTTTTGTTAATATTAGACCTACTTGTAAGGACAAGTAAGGTGCATGATTTTAAATAGATTACTGTAAATTATAGAAAGACCTTGTCACTGAGTTTATCAAAGAGTTTCTATTTTAACTACATGTGTATTGTACAACTCTCCCCCTAACTCCATGTGTATTGTACAACTCACTCCTAACTCCATGTATATTGTACAACTCGCCCCTAACTCTGTGTATATTGTACAACTCACCCCTAACTCCATGTGTATTGTACAATTCTCCTCTAACTACATGTGTATTGTACAACTCACCCCTAACTCCATGTATATTGTACAACTCACCCCTAACTCCATGTGTATTGTACAACTCACCCCTAACTCCATGTGTATTGTACAACTAGCCCCTAACTCCATGTGTATTGTACAACTCACCCCTAACTCCATCTGTATTGTACAACTCTCCTCTAACCATAGTCGCCTTTCCAGCCTTGTGGGTTTTTCTGCGGGTCATCTGGTTTCCTCCAAATGCTAAAGACCCCTATGTGCAAGCGAATTATTGAAATAAAATAAAACCATGTTAGTCCCAAAATGACCTGGTTTGTTTCGAGTGGATGTTAAGCCCATTTCTCTCTCCCCCCCCCCCCCCAACTACATGTGTATTGTACAACACTGAACATAGATCGATCTAAGGCTTCTCTCTAGCCCAGGGCCATAGTCAAATTAAGTTCTGTTTAAGCTTGGACCAAGTATGATCAACTTCAAGAAAATAACCGATTCAAACTTTTTTTTAAGAGCTTTTTATTGTGGAATTTTCTTGAATTGCTTGCATTAAATATATTTATTTATTGAAATTAACATGTATATATATTTTTTTATTGTTTCAGCATTCCCAATGTACTTAATTCTATATTAAACCAGTTACAACAGATACTAGGACAAGACAACATGGCCGCCAAACAATTCATCAAATACCTATCATCGTTTGGTCATCCTAAACCATTCAAGACAGAATCAGAGTCAGACGTCCACAGTGATATTAGATATTGTGTTGATGCATTAAATGTGTACAAACGTGGAAATGATAAACTAATGAAAACGAAAGTAGCAGCGATGGTTTCCAATGGCATACATCTACGTAAACAGTTGACATCTATTTTCGAGGCTTTAATTTTAAAAGAAGACAATTATGGTAAATTTTGTAATGTTTGTATTTAAAGACCTACCACATTAATGTCGAAATCGTAAAATAAACAAAAATATCGTAAATAAATGCTGATTCTCATAGAGGCATGAAATAAGATGGAGTTTATCGTCCTTCTTTTCTGCTCCAACAGACCTAAGGAAGAAGAAAATTTGTCAAACAATGTGCAATGAGGGAAATTTTGCCCGGACAGTGGCACTACAGTCTACTCTTATTTCATAATCTGTGAAGGGTACTTTTCAGGCACGTTAATGTGTACACTAGACTAGTACTGGCACGATATAATGTTGAATTGATGTTATCGCGATTCACTTTTTTACGATACGGATGTTGAATTGAGAGACACTGAATTCTTTTTTATGTTTTTTTTTTTTGTCATTTCATTAATTAACCCGTCACTCTTAATTATCTATGTCACACATAGGTACACGAAGGTACACATAGGTACACATAGGTACACATAGGTACACATAGGTACACATAGGTACACATAGGTACACATAGGTACACATAGGTACACAAAGACGCTTAAATTGTTTGGGTCCTTATTTTGATCCATATCAATATTGTGATGTAAAACAGTTTTACTTGATCGACATCGACAGGACTAAAAATATCAAATATTCATTTATCCTGTTTTCTTTGTAAATATTGACCTGTTTATGAATCGTGATACTAATCGTATCGTAGCACCTGAATCACAATACATATCGTATGGGGGGGGGGTGGCCGAATGTTAAGCACGTGCACTCTGCATCAAAAGGCCCATCACGGAGTAGGGTCGCCTGTTCAACCTTGTGGGTTTTCTCCGGTTTCCTCCCACTGCTAAAGACTCCTACGCGCAAGGGAATTATTGAATTAAAAAAAAAATGAAACCATATATTACTTCGGAAATGACCTAGTTTGTGTCGAGTGGATGTTACGCCCCATTTCTCCTCTCTCAGTGGTAATACCCAGCACTACACTAGACATAGGAAAATGATTGAAATATTGTATTGGCATTTAGCATTTGCATTTAGTTTAAACAATATTTTATTCAATAAACTGAATTGGATTGAACAACAGGCAAAGGCCTTTTATAGAAATTAATTTGGTGAAAAAAAGAAAGACATTAAACTCCATTTTGTAAATCCTTTTCATTTAAAAATGGCTGCTTAAGAATTGTGTTTTGTTTTTCTGTATCTTTTACAGAAACCGTTAAAGATAGGATACAGAGTTTACGAGTGGCACTGATACAGAAAGGAATATTAGAAGAACAGTTTGAATCCATGGAAACAGATGAACCTAAACCTTCCACCGTTGTTAGAGGACAAACGGTGAAACAGTCTGTAGAGTTATGGCCCTTGTTTGAACATACAAGTATTCTGTGTGAATATTTGGTGTTCACAAAGAAAGATAACTCTGTGTCTTTAAGAAATTTAACCGATTTTATGTTGAAATATACACCGTCGTCTATTGTTCATCTACTACAGCAACAATTACCAGAGGTAAAAAACAGACAAATACATTTGTATTCCCCATCCCATTAACGAGAGAGAAATGGGGTTTAAAGTCCACTCAACACAAACTAGGTCATTTCGGGACTAACATATGGTTTAATTTTACTTCAATAATTTGCTTGCGTAGGGGTCTATAGCACTGGGAGGAAACTGAAGGACCAGGAGAAAACCACACCAGCTGACTCAATGATAGACTGACTTTATGATACAGCGCACATGGGTTAACCATTCGGCGATCCAACCCCCTCAATTTTCAAGGCATATTTTACCCCTATGCGCAAGCGAATTATTGAAATAAAATTGAACCATATGTTTGTCCCGAAATTACCTAGGTTGTGTCGACTGGACGTTATTTTATTTTACCTCCAAGTGAATGTGTTATATGTAATAATATTTTACCTCCAACAGAATGTGTTATATGTAATAATATTTTCCCACCAACAGAATGTGTTATAATGTAATAATATTTGACCTCCAACAGAATGTGTTATAATGTAATAATATTTTACCTCCAACAGAATGTGTTATATGAAGAAATGTTAGGTGTTGTAATGGGCAGAATGTGGTACAGTGCTGCCACTTGTGATTATGATACCTGGTTAAAATGGAATCGGCCGTTTCAAACAGAAGAGGAACTGGTCACAGATCGTCGTAGAGTAAGTTATGTTTTGGTCTTCATTAATATAATTTATTTAACGCTTTGGAATTGAAATTAGTAGAACGTTCAACTTTTTGCAAGGACAATTGGCAGACTTTGATTTATGATATGACACCACAATTCCAAGATGCTAGGGATGACAACATGTTCGGTTCCTGGCCTATATAGTAGGCTCGTACTTATTAAATGCGACATTAATAGAAAATTTGTAAAAGAGATTGTTTTCCTAAGATTATTTACTGGTAATTATTTTGTTCACAGGGTCCTTCTTGCTCCTCCCACAGCTCAAGACCCCTACATACAAGCAAATTATTGAAATAAATTGAGCAGTATGTTAGTCCCGAAATGTCCTAGTTTGTGTCAAGTTTATGTTAAACCCCATTTCTCTCTTGCAGGGTCCTGGTAATCTACATCTACTACCATTGTCTTATCCTCTATTTACGATATTATCATCCAAACATAACAATCCTAGAGAAGCTAGTTATCTCCCCTTACATGTACCACTAGGTGGTGTTAATGATCAACTTGATAAATTATCACAAATAACTTCCCATCTGTGGTCAACTAACTGCGCTTTATCTTCACCAAGATTTGATATTAGGTGAGTATAGTTTATTATCTTTGTTAATTAGCGTTTACTGTGATTTGCCTGGCATCTGATTAAGTTTGATGTGTCAGCAAATATTATCAACATAGCATCATTTTTATACGCCCACATTTTCATGTGGACGTGTATTGTCGTAGCCCCTGTCCGTCCGTCCACAATTGTTTGTGAACAGTCTACAGGTCACAATTTTTATCCGATTTCAATGAAACTTGAAATATAGGTTTATCACCCTAAGATCTCGGTTCCTTTCGATATTGGCATCTATCGGACCGTAACTTCATGGATTATGGCCCCTGATTGTACGAAAAATCACGTTTTTGGCTTGTGAGCACTGTAGAGGTCACAATTTTTTATCTGATTTTGTTGAAACTTGAAATGTAAGTTTATAACCCAAAGATCTCGGTTCCTTTCGATATTCGCGCATATCGGACCGTAACTTCATGAATTATGGCCCCAGATTGTACGCAAAAACGCGTTTTTGGCTTGTGGACCCTATAGAGGTCATAATTTTTATCCGTTTTAAAAAACCGTGTTAATATATCACCGTTACACCCTAAGGACGGCTGAGTTTTAATTTCGTGAAAATCGGCCCAAAACTGACAGACAAAATGGCCGCCCTTCGTTCTCAAATAGCGTAAAAATATGGTATATCAAGGTTGTGGACCCTATAGAGGTCACAATATTTATCCGATTTTGTTGAAACTTGAAATGTAAGTTTATAACACAAAGATCTCGGTTCCTTTCGATATTCGCGCATATCGGACCGTAACTTCATGAATTATGGCCCCTTATTGTATGACAAATCACGTTTTTAGCTTGTGGACCCTATAGAGGTCATAATTTTTATCCGATTTAAAAAAACATTTTATTATATCACCGTTAAATCCTAAGGACAGTTGAGTTCGAATTTCGAGAAAATTGGCCCAAAACTGACAGACAAAATGGCCGTCGTTCGTTCTCAAATAGCGTAAAAATATGGTATATCAAGATGGTGGACCCTATAGAGGTCACAATTTTTATCCGATTTTGTTGAAACTTGAAATGTAAGTTTATAACCCAAAGATCTCGGTTCCTTTCGATAATCGCGTATATCGGACCGTAACTTCCTGAATTATGGCACCTGATTGTACGGAAAATCACGTTTTTAGCTTGTGGAACCTACAGAGGTCATAATTATTATCCGATTTAAAAAATCATATTATTATATCACCGTTACACCCTAAGGACGACTGAGTTCGAATTTCGTGAAAATCGGCCAAAAACTGACAGATAAAATGGCTGCCCTTCGTTCTCAAATAGCGTAAAAATATGGTATATCAAGGTTGTGGACCCTATAGAGGTTACAATTTTTATCCGATTTTGTTGAAACTTGAAATGTAAGTTTATAACCCAAAGATCTTGGTTCCTTTCGATATTCGCGCATATCGGACCGTAACTTACTGAATTATGACCCCTGATTGTACAAAAATTCACGTTTTTAGCTTGTGGACCCTGTACATGTAGAGGTCATAATTTTTATCCGATTTAAAAAAATGTATTTTTATATCACCTGTACATCCTAAGGACGACTGAGTTTGAATTTCGTGAAAATCGGCCCAAGACTGACAGACAAAATGGCCGCCCCTCGTTCTCAAATTGCGTAAAAATATGGTATATCAAGGTTGTGGTCCCTATAGAGGTCACAATTTTTATCCGATTTTGTTGAAACTTGAAATGTAAGTTTATAACTCAAAGATCTTGGTTCCTTTCGGTATTTGCACATATCGAATTGTTATTTCCTGAATTATGGCCCTTGATTGTAGGAAAAATCACTTTCGTTTTAGCTTGTTTTCTATCCATCTCTCGAAAATGTGGGCGTATCCTGCCTGGCAGCCGCTGGTTAAACAGGTTAGATACGTAAAAATTTGTCTATTTAGGTTTTTACTAATATACCCTACGTCTATTGATTGTGTTCCTTATCACGTCATATTCAAAATAATGTATTTCGTATATCTCGTCAGGTACAGGGTCAGCTCCTGGTGTCAGCTCCTGGAATATGCCAACCCCATTAGTGCTTAAAACTGACAAGAATCCGCACAAGTAGATTGTCATCATTTATGAAAATAGTTCAGAATTGGAACATATGAAGCCAATTATTGAGAAACTCAGGATGGAGGGATTGACAAGGACAGCTGTCTAGTCGTTCGGATGGGGCAAAAAACCGAGGTCCTGTGTACACATTGGCATGCACGTAAAAGATCCCTTGTCAGTTGGAATTTGATATAAGAGTAGGCCATAGCGGGCAAAATTTCCCTCATAGCACACTGTATGGCGTATTATGCCCGTCTTCATTAGCCCAGTTCGGAGAGAACAGCAGGATGTTAAACACCATTTCTTCATTTCATTTCATTTATTGAGAAACTACAATAAAAATGTTTTATGTATTCATTTTCCAGATATATAGAATGCCAACATTTAATTTCATCTTTCTTGAAAATGCTGGAGTCTTTTGGCTCATTACTGGAACCCAATCAACAACAACAGTGGCACGATGTCATGGTGGAGGTGTTGTCAAGGAAACGAGAACAACAGTTAACATGTGACGACATACGTCTGATTCAGTCGTTGTTTCAGGAAGTTGGACCGTCTGTAGAACATCCAGCCGTCTCGCTAATCTCACGATGTTTCGAGATTATTATGGAACCAGGAATCGTGGAATCGTCATGTCTAAATATGGTGATTATTGGAGTTGGTTTAGCGTATGTGGGAGTGGCCAGTGTTTATTTACTAGCCCCGATTGGACCAGTCGATCCAGTAGAGAAACAGGCAATAAAACTCAACAACTATCAAAATCGGGTAAGTTCAAAATTTTGTTTTACTTGTCTTTACTACACTAGGATCTGAAAGATTTGTTATATAACCTGCAATCTAAGGGATTAGTCAATGAATCAATCTATTGTGGCGAATTCTTGGCGTGCTCTGCGCGGAACTGTGGGTAAAAGCTAATTGATTAATCAATGTCTGATGTCATAAGGTCAAAAGTCACGTATGTGACCTCTGACGTGACCTCCCACGACAACTGGTCAGATCTTCATGTAGTTAAGGCCATCGAAATTATAAAAAAATTAAACGAAATATAGATCTGTATTTTACTCAGATTGGGTAAGTGACTTCTAAAGATATTATTTTTAGACACAGTGGCTCAGTGAGTATGGCGCTGGCTCACTAATCTGGTTTTAATCCTGACAAGGACAACTGTCTAGTCATTCGGATGGGACAAAAAAACAAGGTCTCGTGTACACATTGGCGTGCACGTAAATGATCCCTTGACAGTTGGAAATCGATATAAGAGTAGGCCGTAGTGCTGCTGTCCAGGCAAAATTTCCCTCATAGCACACTGTATGGCGTATGACCGTCGTCATTAGCCCAGTCCAAGCAGAACAGTAGAATGTTAAACTCTGTTTCATTTCTGGTTTCAATCCAGTTTTTGGCCGAGAAAGTTACTCAGAATTTTCTAGCCTAATGTCCCCTTGTCAGTGTTACACAATGGAGGGTCTTTTAGTTGTTCATGTGGGAAGATAAAAACAAGGTTTGGTGTCAACATGGCTCAGTGATGGTGCTGGCTCAGTGAGTGTTGTGCTGGCTGCCTAATCTGTTTTTTGATTCCGCTATTGGTGAAGAAAATTCCTCAGAATCGTCCAGTCTTGTTTCCTCTTGTCAGTGTTGCAGGATGGAGAGCTGAGCAAGGAAAGGTTTCTAGTTGTTTGGGTGGGAAGATAAAAGCAAAATTTGGTGACAATGTGGCTCAGTGAATATGGTGCTAGCTCTGTAACCTGGGTTATGATCCTGGTGTTTGGTTGAGGAAGTTTCTTGAGATTTTCCAGCCTGATTTCCCTCTTGTCACTGCTGCAAGAATCTAGTTCTTCGGTTGGGAAGAAAAACCAAAGTCTTGTCAATTCCATTGCGAGGATGTAAAAGAATACCCTAACAATTGGAAATGATTGTAAGAAGAGGCGATATTTCCCTCATTGCAGGACTTCATTTAACCTGTTGGTTCGAAAAAGCAATACATTGAACTCCATTTCATTTCATTTAACACCTCGCTTCACTTGGTGATATATTCCTCAATTTGTGTCCCCCTCTAATATTTTAAAGAAATAGAATGTTTGAATATGTATATTTTATTTTTTATAGTTGAATGAAGTAGAACTAGAGATTCAGGTATTTGAGATGCACCTAAAGTTAAAGACAGGACAAACCATCACTGATATAGAAGACAACAATCGTCACATCAGACTTCAATATTTACTGGAGAGAAGAACACAACTTATAGATGATATAGAGATACTACAAGAACAACAGGCTTACAGACCAGACCCATTACAGGTAAAATTATCTCTTCGTTTCGTACAAAAATACATGGCACTAGAAACAGGTAAAATTACCTCTTGATTTATTACAAAAATTTAAACATATAACTGAAATGAATGAGTTTAATGGCATGTCAGCTTCAACCAGGCGCCAGGCTTATGATGAAATATGAGACAGTTCCAGTTATATCACATAAAAAAGAAATGTCTGAATTTGTTCCCCCAAATGTGAACATGTACACTCCTCGAGCCCCCGTTTTGAGGCCTGGCAAGAAGCTAATGAGTACAGATCTGGGGGAAAGTGTCTAGATTTTCGTATGGGATATATAAAAAAAGAAAATGATTGCTTTTATCATCAGCAATTTTTCCAGCTATTTAAACTTTACCATTTCTATTTTCTTATAGTTTCAGAGTTTAATCCATGATGTAAAAGCCTTCTTAGAAAGCGTTGGATCTATTGACAGAGTTACCTCCCTTCTCAGTAAATTAAAATCGGCCAATCAGTTGTTATTGGAGAGGAGAAGTGATATGGTTGCCATAACGACCAGTCTACGAGAAGAAGAGGCATGGCAACTTACGCTGCATAGTTTTCTGGATGGATTGGACAAAGAGTATTGGTATTATCCAGATTTGATCAAACCTTTCATGACAGCTGTTCAACAGGTGGGTTCACAAAAGCTGCTGCTGCATCATCTTCAGTATCACCAGTGGTCTCATTCCGTTCTTCTCTACGATACCCTGGATTCATCCATGTGGTATTACGTATTCAATTTATCTGCACTTGATCGTAGCTTGATTCTACTAACCAATCAAATAACGTTTGCAACATTATACCGGCTAGTTTGTTACAGAGAGAGAGAGAAATGGGGTTTAACGTCCACTCGACACAATCTAGGTCATTTCGAGACTAACACATGGTTCAATTTTATTTCAATCATTCACTTGTGCATAGGGGTCTTTAGCAGTGGGAGGAAACCGGAGGACCCGGAGAAAACCCACAAGGTTAGACAGGCGACCCTACTCCTTGTCACGTACAACGGGCGAATCGAAACCCTGCCAGTTGACTCAATGATAGTTTGTTACAAGATGAGTTACTTCCTTTCTATTTAACAATTTGAATACGTGTCTCTCCCATTGATGAACCCTGGAGTTAGTGGAGTTAAACGGAATGATATTTTTTGAAGACCTACTCAAAAAAAATGTCAACATTGTTTTTTTGTCATTTAACATCAAAACCTGCAAAATAAAGCTTATTCCACGAACTCTACCCGTAAAGTTGACGGATGGGAACTTTGTAACAAATCGAATCGGACTATTAGGCCATAGATGAGGTGTGTTAGAATTGAACCCAGAATGAACGTAGTAGATGTCCAATCTTCATAGAGTGTGACAATATTCGATGAAATATGCCAGTTTGTGCCCTGTCCAAACTTTAAGCATGTTATATTTATTATAATGTGTTGCCCAAACTGGCTAGAATAAATATAGATACCTCTGTTGTAAGATTTTTAACAGATGTGTTATCAACAATAGAGTTATTACAACACCCAAATAATTTACCTATCTGGTGGAAGGGATCAATAGGAATTTGTTTCAAGCCCAGCAGGCCCATGTTAAGCTGGTAATAAGTCCAGGCAAGATAGGAATGTAGGCCTCTCTCTTTACAATTTAAAAAATACCTGATTCCACATTCAGTTCTTTGTATCATAAAATAATTTTGTACTTTGACCAACTTTTTCTATCTTTATAGATGAGATTAGGCATCAGTATATTGGCTCAAAAAGTTGAAATGGAACAAAAACAATCGGCACTACCAAAGGTAAGTATCAGAAAAATCTATTTAGAACACCCTGTAATTATTTTCAAATTTTGTCAAATCAATATATATTATTTTACTGATTGCTAATACCTCTTTAAACTTTATTTTGGAGCAGAACAGTAGGACGTTAAGCCATGGTTTCCTCCCACTGCTAAAGACCCCTACGTGCAAACGAATTATTGAAATAAAATTAAACCATATGTTCGTCCCGAAATGAATTATTGAAATAAAATTGAACCATATGTTAGTCCCAAAATGACCTAGTTTGTATTGAGTGAACATTTAACTTTATCTCGTTTCTCTTAAAATTTCAGCAAATCTATGGTCAGACATTAGAAGATGTTGTTTTAGTTTTAAGTCAGTTTCCTACTATGAGTGGAAGTTATGAGACGTTTCATGATTTAACCAAGTGTTTGATTTATGATACGACTAGTGAGTTAGTTAACAACAGTTTAAAAACACCAGACACAGATAATAACCAAGATGTCCTCTCAAAGTAAGTCAAATGTCCTCTTAAAGTAAATCAAATGTCCTCTCAAAGTAAATCAAATGTCCTCTTAAAGTAAGTCAAATGTTGATGAATAAGCCTCCTCTCATTTCTACCCAAAGTTAGTCCCGAAATGACCTAGTTTTTGTCAAGTGGACGTTAAACCCCATTTCTCTTTCTCTCTCTTCCCAATGTCTTTTTATGTACTGTTGTTGAGCAGGTGTTTTTGTGGAGGATGGAGGGCTGGCTGGGAACAGTTTCTAGCCATTCCGATGGTTACGGTAAACAAAGTTCTTACGTATACGCTTGGCACATAAAATATTTTGTTCAGTTGGAATTACTATAGGAGTAGGCAGTGGCTCCACTGTCTGGGCCAAATTTCCATCATGTCATAGTGTGTGACATATCACTGTATTCTTTAGCGCAATAGGAGCAGGGAGCCACAGTGGCTCAGGGAGTAAGAAGCTAGCTCGTTAGCCTGGAGGTTGCGTGTTCGATCCCTGCATTGGCCGAGGGAGTTCATCAGAATTTTCTGATGTTGTTTCCCCTTGTCAGTGGTGCAGGACGAAGGGCATGATAAGCACAGCTGTCTAGTCGTTCGGATGGAACGAAAAACAGGTCCCGTGTATACATGTACATTGGTATGCACGTAAAAGACCCCTTGACATAAGAGTAGGTCATAGTGCCACTGTCCAGGCAAAATGTATGGCGTATGCCCGTTTTCATTAGCCCAGTCAGAGCAGAAAAGTAAGGACATTAAATGCCATTTCAATTCATAAAATAACATAGGTGAATAGAGTAATATTTGATATTATTTTCTGTGTATAACTTCAGGTTGTTAATGTGTGGCTTGTATCTCGTTAAACTTCACTGTTTTCATCGTGGAGAATTAACGGCAGACATTACTCTCACATTATCTAATTTATTCGGAGCTTTCGTATCTGCGTGGCAAGATCAGGAAGATAGACGGAGGAAGAAAGAAGCAGAAGATGCGAGTTTATATCGATTCCGCAGTAAAACTCACGGAGATGAACGAACAGAAGAAGAGAAAGAGGAAGCAGAATTTAAATCAAGTTTTCCGTCATTTGAAAAGGTAAGAGAAACAAGAATATTACCTTTCACGCTATGTTTGCCAGCAGTTTGATTGTGTCACAGTTTTACACACACCGGGGTGGGTGGGGGGGGTTGATGGCTGTTTGGTTAGCACGTGCACGCTGTATTATACGGCCTGTCATTGAGTCAGCTGGCAGGGTTTCGATTCCCTGGTTGTACGTGACAAGTAGTAGGGTCGCCTGTCCGTCCAGCTTCATGGGTTTTTTTCCGAGTCCTCCGGTTTCCTCCCACTGCTAAAGGCCCCTACGCGGATGCAAATTATTGAAATAAAATTGAACCATGTGTTAGTCCCAAAATGACCTAGTTTGTGTCGCCTGGACGTTAAACCCCATTTCTCTCTCTCTCTTTTTACACACACTTCAGGAATTGCAGAACTGTGACTGAAATCCATGTAACTCTCAGTACGTCTATGAGTGTGACCCTGGCTCATTTACAAGGAGTTCCCGGGTTCGTTAAAGATCACCTTCATTTGGAAAAGATGAGAAGAGTAGGCAGTACCACCGCTGTCTATGTTAAATTTTCTATGCCTATCTTCGTTAGCCCAGTTAATGCATAAATGTATGACGTTAGACCTAACAGCACATTATGTTTCATACGCCTATCAGTATATCATTTCTGTTTGATTTTAAAATATTTATATCAAGAGTTCTATTTATTTTCGGGGGGTTGGATGGCCGAATAGTTAGCACGTGCGTGCTGTATCATACGGCCTGTCATTGAGTCAACTGGCGTGGTTTTGAATCCCCGGTTGTACGTGACAAGGGGTAGGGTCACCTGTCCAACCTCGTGGGTTTTCTCCTGGTCCTCCAGTTTCCTCCCACTGCTAAAGACCCCTATGCACAAGCGAATTATTGAAATAAAATTGAACCATGTGTTAGTCCCGAAATGACCTAGTTTGTGTCAAGTGGATGTTAAACCCCACCTCTCTCTCTCTCTCTCTCTCTCTCCCTCTCTCTCTCTATTTTTATTTTTAAGAGTACTGTGATATTTGTTTTTATATGCAAATAGTGATTTGTTTGTGATATAATTTAGCCTGACTCATCTTTCAGATATGTTTGGTGCAGTATACCAATGTTAGGGCTGACAGCCATAAAACTACATTTCATTCACTCGTTTATTCATTCATTCAATACTTAATATTTTTAACTCAATATAAATGATATTTGTAGGAATATGCTGATTTAGTTGGACCGCAGACATTGGAAGAAGTTGGACAACTAACGGAAGATGACGATGATGTCGCCAGTCATATTGATAGTATAACGACAGAAGAGATGTATACAGTCTATCGAATTCACGATTTATTGTTTACCTCACTAGTCTCCACCGATTGGTTAACGCAGAAACCTCATACTCCATGTACGTCTGAAGAGTATCTTCAACCAGCCATGTTGGGTTATAGTATCGCAGCTCGAGTTGCCCAGAAATCTCTTGGTACTTTAGGTAAGAATTATTGTAGCTGTATATATTCTGTTCAGTGGGGGTGGATGGCCGAATGGTTAGCATTGCGCATTAAGTCAAATGGCGTGGTTTCGATTCCCTTGTTGTACATGACAAGGAGTAGGAAAGTCTGTCCAACTTCGTGGGGTTTCTCCGGGTTCTCCATTTCCTCCCACTGCTAAAGATCCATAAGCACAAGAGAATTATTGAAATAAAATTAAACCATGTGTTAGTTTCGAAATGACGTAGTTTGTTTCGAGTGGATGTTCAACCCCATTTCTCTCTCTCTCATATTCTGTTCAAAAATGTGTCACACGGTGGCCATGGCAAACTGATGTCCCCCAAAATATGCCAATGGGTGTGGTTCATGCATATTGATGTTTCAAAACCTTTTTTCACTCAGATTCTTTGGGATATTTTACAAAGCTTGGAAAACCCCCACCTCCATATCTTCATATACTTTAGTTTCAGTCGGATTTCCCATGCTAAGGGCATTCTGATAAAAAATGTGGTACCCCTACACATATCAAGGTGATCGCCATTGCTATCTGTGTGATTCTGATATCTGCTAAATCCACTGTCCAAATACCAACAATTTCATATAGAATTCTAATTACCTAGGTTGCTTTTTTTCACAGAACCCTTTGATTTCACAAACCCCTCCAAATTTGGTTGTTGACTCCCCGTTAGAAAACAACAGTATTGCTACACAAAACATCCAGGGAAGTTTAATTGTATTTTGAATAAGGCTGGGAATCGATATGAAATTTCAATATCGATTATCGGCAAGAATTTGTCAGCGATTATCGATAATAATCGAACTTTACCGACCTTTTATTTGTGTTGGTCGACACAGGCTACCACTATTTTGTTGTATTTGTTCTTCGACAGTCATGTTTAATAATAGTATAATAAAAATATTCCAAAACATCTTCAGTCTTTATTACTGTTTATTTAAACACATTATATTTATTAATATTATTATACAATCTGTCAATACTCAATTGTAATAAAAAAACAAACGAAAGTAAATTGAAGTTATCTATCTTCATTACTAGAGTCCATAAAGGTAGATAACTGTTACATTTATTAGGTTACATTAGTCAGTTCCGTAAAAACCAAAACAATTCCATACCTCGCTTTTTGGCTTTCCCGGGAAGTCAAAAACGTGTTTTGTATGGGCTGTATCTGACGTGATTTAGTAATAAAAGCTGAGTTGATCATTAATAATACAATTAGTTTTATCGTGAAAGCAGACGATTTCTCTACAAATCAATCAAGAGTAAAGAAGGGAGATAATTCTAATTTTACTATATATCACGTGCGATTGTCATCGTTCACAAAGTGCGTGACCTATTTTAGTTTCAACTAGTAATAACAACAAAAACAACGAAAATATTAAAATAATGAATTTAATCTTAAAGTTTAGTTTTTTACAATGATATATATTTAAAATGTGCCAGTTTGTAAGCAGAGGGGGAAAATAGTTGTTGTGTTGACGTTGTGTATTCATTCATTCGTCTGCTAATGCCAGACTACGGCAAGTTCAGTCATGTGAAAGTGACCGTAACTTGCCGTCAGAAGGTAAATATACCGATAATCGATATTTGAATTTCAATATCGATTATCGTATCGCTAAATAACTTCTACCGATTATCGATTATATCGATATTTTTGCACAGCCTTAATTTTGAATATATTTTAGGTCGTGACGTTGATCTGGGGGTAGTTGGAGGCCATCTTGTAATAAGCGGTGTTGTTCAACAGACTATATTATCCAGTCTTAACTCTACAGACGCTACACAGGTACATTTTACTTCATCTTTAATGTTATTACGGAAGCCGCAGTGACCCATTGAGTAAGACATGGGCTCGCTATCCTAGAAGTCCTGTGTTCAATCTTCCTGTTTCCACTTTGTTAGTGATGCAGCACAGAGGGGCTTGGCATAAGACAAGCTATAGTAGTCCGGATGGGACGAAAACAAAACACCTGGATTCAAATCTGATTGAAATACAAATCTATATTTGGTTTCGTTTTTTTATACTTTCTATATCCTCTACTACATGAAGATCTGACCTGTTATAGTGAGAGGTTGTGATGATGTTTCTAGTAGGATACACACAGTTCTGTGTATCGCATGCCAAGAACTCACTCCAACAGATTGTTTCATTGACAAATCTCTCACATCAACCAGAACGTGGGTTATATAACAACTCTTTCGGATCCTAGTGCAGTAAAGACAAGTAAAACGAAATTTTGAACTATGAAAAAATGAAACGAAATAACATCTGTGTTTTAATCAAATTGACACCAGACCAAAGTGTTGTACTTTATTAATCTTAAATCTTATTTCATTTTCAGGACGAGAATTTATGTTTAAAACCCTCAGAATTTTACGATGTGTATTACGATTCTAACGTTGCTGAAGTGAGCCAGTGTAAAGGTGTTTTAGATAGATTTATCATCAGATTGGAAGAATTACTCGTAGAATTTCCAGAACATCCTACCTTGTTACAGGTAATAATTGTTATTGACAAGGGGGGTGGATGGCCAAATGGTTTAAGGCGTGCATGTTAGTTCATAAGGTCTGTCACTGAGTCAACTGGTGTGATTTCGATTCCCCACTTGTACAACGCAAGGAGTAGGGTCGTCGTCCAACCTCATGAGTTTTCTCTGGGTCCTCCGGTTTCCTCCACCTGCTAAAGACCTCTCTCTCTCTCAAATGGGACCCTAAACCAGTGTCCTGGGTCCCATGTACACATTGGCATGAACATAAAAGATCCCTTGACAGTTGGAATTCGAAATACATGTAGCCTGCACTGTCGCTGTTACGATAAAAGTTCTTTGGGATTTTCTGGTGTGGTTCAACCTTTGTTAGTGTGCAGGGCAGAGGGCCTGTCAAGGGACAATGTATAGTCGTTCAGATGGAACAAAATCCAAGGTCCTTTGTACACATTTGTACAGTTGGCAGTTGGAATTCTATATAAGAGTAGGCTGTAGCGCCGCTTTCCGGGCAAAATTTTCCTCTTAGCACACTGTATGGCATATGCCCATCTTCATTAACCCATTCGGAGTAGAACACTAAATCCAATTAATTTTTTTAAACTATGTATAATTTATCTTGTATGTTATATTATAGATACTGGCGATTATTGAGAGAATTCTATCTTTCTCAATAACTTGTCCTATTATGAAGTTTTTAGTTGGCCTTGAACTACTGTTAGAAAAATCTAAGGTAATTATTGACTTTTATTTATGGAGCAAGGTAATTATATAGCAAACATCAGACAGGTTAATTATAGATAACTCTAGCTAGTTTATATATAACTTCAGACAGGTTAAATATGTGTTTATTGAGTAAGTTAGTGTTAGACAGGATAAACACATGTTTATTGTAAATTTGATACAAAGATTTGTTACCACAATCTACTATACAAGTCTGGAGGCCAACTATATAAATTACTTTACTAGACTGTAATATGTAAATTAAATGGAACCAAAGTGTGTGTTTATAGGCCCATCATAGGCTCAAATTTGACAGTTTCGACTTCTTCTATATTGTTGAATCCGGCGTGGTTCCCCCTTGTCAGTGATGCAGGACGGAGGGCCTGACAAGGACAGCAGTCTAGTCCTTCGGATGAAACGAAAAACTGAGGTCCCGTGTATACATTGGAATGCACATAAAAGATCCCTTGGCAGTTGGAATTCGACATAAGAGTAGGCGATAGTGCCGCTGCCCGGGCAAAATTTCCCTCATAGCACACTGTATGGCGTATGCCCGTCTTCATTAGCCCAGTTTAGGAGCAGAACAGTAGGACGTTAAACCCCATTTCATTTCATTTCATTTCTATATTGTTGAATTAATCATGGCTCCATTGAAGCAGGATTTTTTTTCTGCTAATCCACCTGGTACATTTCTTAGTTCTTATAAATCTAACCAAACTTAGTAATATAGGTAGTTCCCATTTGTTTATTTATTTTTTTGAATGACATTGTGATAAGAGTTGGAAGTTTTTGCAAACATGCATTTGCCAAATGGGAAATCATTAATTAGCTATAATTGTATATAAATTATTGTTTATTTGGGTTTTTTTTAGGATTGGGAAGCCAATGCTGCTAAGCATGTGTCTATTATGCCTAATTTTACCGAAGTGTCTGCCATGGTGGTACAGTGGAGAAAACTTGAACTAGGGTATGGAATTTTAATTATTTAGATCTTTTGTTAGTGGGGGGATGGGTAGCTGAATGGTTAGCGTGTGTGTGTTGTATCATAAGGTCTGGCATGGTTGCGATTCCCTGGTTGTAATTGACAAGGAGTAGGGTCGCCAACCAACCTCATGGGTTTTCTCTGGGTCTTCTGGTTTCCTCCCACCGCCAAAGCTCCATACGTGCAAGCGAATTATTGAAATAAAATTGAACTATATGTTAGTCCCGAAATGACCTAGTTTGTGTTGAGTGGACGTCAAACTCTCTCTCCCTTGTTAGTATTGGGGATGGGTGATCAACCGCACATGATTTCGATAACAAGCTTGTAAAGACAATGTCTAAGGATGCCTGCCCAACCTTGCGTGTTTTATCTTGGTCCTCTGGTTTCCTCCAATTGTTACTGATCCATATGAGGATGTAAATTATTGAATTAGTCTCGAAATGGCCTAGTTTGTGTAGTGTTCAGGTTGATATAATTGATATCATTGTATTGTTGGTGTTCTTAGATAAAATGTTGTTTGATATGTAATTGATATTTTTGTATTAAACATACATTATGCAAGAGCTAAATCTGTCTATTGCAGATCTTTCTTTAGGCCTGAAATGTTATCTAAATTAAATTAGACATTAATTAACTTATCCAGACCATAGTCAACTCTAGATGGCATCACTAGCCTGCGATCTTAAGTGGATTGTGAGCCGATTTAATGCATAACTTTCCGTCTCGTTTTAACCATTAAATGGATAATCGAGACTATGCTGTTTATCGTACTGACTTTAGTAATGATGACCGAGGCTAGGCAGAAATTTCATTCGCTTTGTTCTCGGTTCAAAGTGGATCAATTTGAATGAAATTTTCAGCAAATTTTTAACTATTATAGTGAGAACTGCCAACTCGTTATAGAATCTCCCATAATGTATCTTTAATAGTAAGTGCAGGGGGACTGCACCACACAAAATTTACACAAAAACAAATACACGGACAAGACATCATACTCAGGAAAACACAGACATACAGACAATTCAAAAAAAGTGAATGGATCCGGGGGGCTAGCCGTAAGCGTCCACTGCGCTGTACAGTCCCGGGTCTGTAGTGACACAGATTTCACCCAAATTTGAAAACAATTAGGAATACAACCCAAAGAACCCATTGTGCAATGCCAGCATGAGTCATGATCTGCTATATGCTACACGAAATACGAATGTAAGCCTATGTAGTAAAATTTAACTATACAAGTAACCACATCGGTGAAATGTATAAAAAAGTAGTCTAAACTCTAAATTCAATCAAGAAATGTTTCAGTATTCAATACATATAGGGTACATGTTCCATCTGTCACAAAAACAAAACTGAAAACAAAGAAGCAAATAGGAAATGTAGACTGTCTCGAGGGACAACCGTCTGCTGACTGAGTTGCGACGTTAATTTTGGAATGACGTCATATCTTAGAAGGTGATAAAAAATCACAATAAGGGCGATAATCCAGATAAAATAACGTTAAAAGTTTAAAAACCATAAGTTTTAGCGACTAATCAGAATTATTAAGTTATGTAATTGTACAATTTATGATATATTAATATAATACCACACACAAGAAATGCAAAACAGGTATGTTGACGAAATCGTACTATGTAAGTGTATTTATAAAGGCATAAAATTATGTAGATGTTGGAAGTATACAGTTGTAATAGATATGTAATTGATATTATCTATTAATGTAGATGTAATTGATATTATTATATTAATGTAGATGCTGGAAGAACACAATGTTGTTAGAAGAACGTAAATGTGAGAAGTCCGTCAGTAAATGGTGGTTTCATCTTTATCAATTGATAACTTCTTATCTTGACCAAACACAGGTAAGCATTTTCATTGGATAAAAATAGATGATGATTCCTAGTAGGTGATTGGAATGAGATATAAACGTCCTACTTTTCTGCTCCGACTGGGCTAATGAAGACGGACATACGCCATACTGTGTGCTATGAGGGACATTTTGCCCTGGCAACGGCACTATGGCCTACTCTTATGTCAAATTCCAACTGTCAAGGAATCTGTTATGTGCACGTCAATGTGTACACGGGATCTCAATTTTTCCGTCCCATCCGAACAACTAGACAGCTGTCCTTGTCATAAAGCTTTCTCTTATTTAGAATTCCAAATGTGAAGAATACTTTTCCATGCACACAGTTTTCCGACGTGGTTTCCCCTTGTCAGTGGTGTAGGACGGAGGGCCTGACGAAGACAGCCGTCTAGTGTATACATTGGCGTGCACATAAAAGATCCCTTGATAGTTGGAATTTGATATAAGAGTAGGCCATAGTGCCGATGCCCTGGCCAAATTTCGCTCATAGCACACTGTATGTCGTATATTATACCTGTCTTCATTAGCAGAAAAGTAGGAAGTTACACCCCATTTCATATCTCATCCCTGTATATCAAATCCAGTAGGGGGGTTGGATGGCTGAATGGTTAGCGTGCGCGCGCTGTATCATAAAGTCTGTCATTGAGTCGACTGGTGTGGTTTCGAATCCCCGGTTGTACGTGGCAAGGAGTAGGGTCGCCTGTCCAACCTCGTGGGTTTTCTCCGGGTCTTCCGGTTTCCTCCCACTGCTAAAGACCCCTACGCGCAAGCGAATTATGTAAATAAAATTAAACCATACGTTAGTCCCGAAATGACCTAGTTTGTGTCGAGTGGACGTTAAACCCCATTTCTCTCTCTCTCTCAAATCCAGTAAATATCAAAGGCTATCGATGACATCAAGAGTTGATTAAGGTCTAGATAAGTTAATGTCTAATTAATAGTTAATTTCAGGCCTAAAGAAAGACCTCCAATAGGCAGCTTTAGTTCTTGCCTAATGTATGTTTAATCTTTGTATTTCAGAAATCTGTAGACAGTGTTGAATTGCTGACATCATTAAAACAGTTTTTAGAGAAATCGAATCTTGGTGAATTTAAGAGTCGTCTACAGATGATCTATGCGTTACATTGTCAAGTTTATAAAATGGATACCTCAGAGAAACAAGGTACGGTAGATTGTCTGTGACAAGTGGCATGAAGTACAACACATATTTTAATAGTCAGTCTTATCCAGAAATCAGAATGCAGTGTCTTAAAAAGGGTTAGGGTGTTGTTTCAACAGCATATTTGGTAAACGGTTCCAAGAAACCTTGTTCATACATTAACCCTCTTATGATGGTTAGTGTGTGCGTGCTGTATCATAAAGTCTGTCATTGTGTCAACTGGCATGGTTTCGATTCCCAGGTTGTATGTGACAAGGATTAGGGTCACCTGTCCAACCTCGTGGGTTTTCTCTGGGCCCTCTGTTTTTCTCCCACTGCTAAAGACCCCTACGTGCAAGCGAATTATTGAAATTTAGTCCCGAAATGTCCTAGTTTGTGTGTCAAGTGGATTTTAACTCTCTCTCTCTGTCTCTCTCTCTCTCTCTGGTTGGGATTTGTGCTTATTAAGATTTAATAATTAATTTAAATTTTTGCCAATTAGAAATTCCTCTGATTTACTCATTTTTCTGGCCACAAATTTGTCTTTGTTTTTGGTATACAAGGACCTGTCACTGTAACAAAGGTATCACTTAATCTTGTGTATCTAGCACTAATTTCTTTCACATTCGTTTAATATCAAATCTTTGTTTAAAAATTCATAAAAACTGTTTAAAATCACCATAAATCGTTTAATTTGTACTTCTGTCCAGTTTAAATCTGACCATTCAATTTTGATAATGAGTGTGCAATTTACAAGCGTTTAATTTATTCATCACTGTTAAAAAATAAACAACCCAATTGATTATTGATGTATAATGATAAATTTTTGAACAGGAAATTAAATGCTTGTAAATTGGACACTTATCAAAATTAATCAGTCAGTTATAAACTGGACACAAATACAAATTAGATGATTTTTGGTGATTTTAAACGATTTTTACAAATGTTTAAACAAAGATTTGATGTTAAACGAATGTGAAAGAAATTAGTGCTGGATACACAAGGCCCCAAGTTCACAAAACATTCTCAGACTTAAGTTAAGAATTTTCTCAATTTTCAATTACAGTTTATGAGAATTATCTTTGATCCATAAACACAAAACTTTGCACATAGTTTCTTTCTGATGTATTTGATACATTAAAACAACAAACAATTTATAAAGGTCTATAGTTTAGTTAAAATAAGGCGAACAATTTTGAGTAAATTCTTAACTTAAGTCTGAGAATGCTTTGTGAACTCGGGCCAAGATTAAATAATACCTGCGTTACAGGTTATATATAATGAATAATTTTTGTATTTCTAGTGGAAGTGCTGAACATGTTGTGGAACTTATATCAGTTTTATCATCAATATTTACCTAATGTAGAGGCTGAAATAACCTCACAAAAAACACCAATACAGAAACAATTAAAGGTAGGTAACTCTAGTTGAAGAGTGATATAGAGGGTGCTGAATTGTAAATTTCAATCAAGCATTTCCACTGAGATAGTGGTGCAGGATGGAGGACCTGACAAGGACAGCTGTCTAGTCGTTCCGATGGGACAAAAACCAAGGCCCCGTGTATGCATTGGCATGCACGTAAAAGATCCCTTGACAGTAGGAATACGATATAAGAGTAGGCCATAGTGCCACTGCCCGGGCAAAGTTTCCCCTCATAGCACACTGTATGGCATATGCCCGTCTTCATATGCCCAGTATAGGAGCAGAACAGTAGGATGTTAAACCCTGTTTCATTTCGAGGGGTTAGATGGCCGAATGGTTAACATGTGCGCACTGTATCATAAGATCTGTCATTGAGTCGACTGGCGTGGTTTCGAATCCTCGGTTGTATGTGACAAGGAGTAGGGTTGCCTGTCCAACCTTGTGTGTTTTCTCCGGGTCCTCCGGTTTCCTCCCACTGCTAAAGACACCTAGGTCCCAGCGAATTATTGAAATAAATCTCTCACTCTCTCTCTCTCTCTCTCTCCCTCTCTCTCTCTCACACACACAAATCTATATTTATCTTATTTCAGGGTTTTGTAAAAATAGCGAGATGGAGTGATTTGAATTATTGGGCTTTAAAACAGTCGACTGAGAAGACTCATAGAATGGTTCATAAATACGCCAAGAAATATGAGGTAATTTTAAAATTTTCTTTTTCTGTCAAAAGATTTTACATCAATATTATGATAGAATGGTCAGTTGTGAGTCAGTTGAAAAAATAATCGGAGTAAAACAAGATATGTCAGGAATTGACTGTCAAAATTATGCGAGGAAAGCCATGGTACCAATTGAAAGAACTGGAACCAGTTGAAAAATATTTAGTTTTCTTACAGTTCTAACTGTTAAAGGGACATTTATTAGGTATAAGGTTCGATAAAGAGCTGTCAGTTTTTTGCTATAAAATATACTGAAAATTGCAGTCAAATTGCTTCACTCTGAACCAAGATATTAGCCATTGAATTTTAGGCTACGTCGTCATTACTGATGTTGGTATGATAACAAAGTCTTGATCATCAATTTTTACATTATATTACCCATCACAAAATGTATTTAAATCCAGTAAATATTGCAGGCTAACAATGGCATCGAGAGTTGATTATGTTAATAAATGTCTAATTAATAATTTATATAAAATTTCAGGTCCAAAGAAAGATCTCCAATAGGCAGATTTAACTCTTGCATAATGTACATGTATGTTTAAGATTTGAGTAAAACATAATATTATGTGACGGATGCATGCTTTGTCTGTATTTTTAGGTTATTTTAAATCAACCAGTAACCAAGTTGCTAGGTGACAGGGGAGATAATTTATCAATATTAACACCTGAGAATCAATCTAAAGGATCAGTTCTATGTGAAAGACTAGAAGTCTACAGACAGATGATCAAAACAAAAACACAACCAAAGACAGTAAGTAGATATTAACATTTCAATATGAAAGACTTCCTTAAAAGAGGGAACCTGTGGTGGCTAAGTGGATGTTCCATGTTCCATTCCAGTGTTGGCAAAATTTCCTTCATAGCACACTGTATGGCATATGTTAGTCCCAAAATGACATAGTTTGTATTGAGTGGACATTAAACCCCATTTCTCTCTATGTATATTAGTATTGCATATTCTCATGTCGTATTCTAAATAAAATATTGTTTGAACCAAAGACTATCACCATCATTTGATGAAATTTTTTTAATCTGATATTGTTTTAATTAGATATTGAGAGAGATAGAAGAAGCTGTAACGTTGAGTGATCTACAGACACGACTACCTGTTTTAATACCCAGACTGAGTAAACATTGGAAATCTCTAGTAACATCTCTCAACTATACTCAATTATTGTCAACACTTGATTCATTTACAGGTAATCTTTCATTAACTAGACACATTTACAGGTAACATCTCTCAACTATACACAATTACAGGTAACATCTCTCAACTATACACAATTACAGGTAACAACTCAACTATACACCATTACAGGTAATGTCTCTCAACTATACACAATTACAGGTAACATCTCTGAACTATACACAATTACAGGTAACATCTCTCAACTATACACCATTACAGGTAACGTCTCTCAACTATACACCATTACAGGTAACATCTCTCAGCTATACACCATTACAGATAACATCTCTCAACCAGAGACAGTTACAGGTAACATCTCTCAGCTATACACCATTACAGATAACATCTCTCAACCAGAGACAGTTACAGGTAACATCTCTCAACCAGAGACAGTTACAGGTAACATCTCTCAACCAGAGACAGTTACAGGTAACATCTCTCAACTATACACAATCACAGCTAACAATTCTCAACTATACACAATTACAGGTAATATTCTCAACTATACACAATTACAGGTAACATATCTCAACTTTCCACAATTACATTTGATACATATTCGTGCGGGTGTTGCCGCTTGGTTTATGCGTTTGAAATAGTAGGTCGTGATCAGATGACAAACATGGCTAACAATCATTATGGATTGCTTTGCCCCTTTAATTGGAGACCTAACTTTATTAATCCTTCACCCAAATATCTCATATTTGCTATTTTAGTCCAGTTTTTATAAAAAAAAAAAATGTATGTTCATTAAATGTTATATTTTTTTTTCAGGCAATATTGTTGAAAATGTTCATGAATTACAGAAAGCAGAAATACCTCAGGTATAATCAGATCTAAAACACGTCCAATCTGTGGTCTATTCGGTTCACTACAGATTTTAAACTTCTTGTGGCCTAAAATCAAAGACTGCAGGTCTTGATTGCTTTTGATATCTTGATGTATTAGATGAAATAGGGGGTTTGGATGGTCGAATTGTAAGCTCTGTCATTGAGTCAACTGGCATGGTTTCGATTCCCGGGTTGTACGTGACAAGGAGTAACATCGCCTGTCGTGGGTTTTCTCCAGGTCCTCCGGTTTCCTCCCACTGCTAAAGACCCCTTACACTCAAGCAAATTATTGAAATAAAATAGAAGGATATGTTAGTCTCGAAATGATCTAGTTTGTGTTGAGTGGACGTTAAACCCCATTTCTCTTTCTCTATTAGATGAAATATGCCAGTTTGTGCCCTGTCCAAACTTTAAGCATGTTATATATATATTATAATGTGTTGCCCAGGCTGGCTAGAATAAATACACTTGTACATTATGTTTACTTCTGAATACTGTATAATATTGAAGTTTTATTATTACATGTGTAACAATCCTATGGCAACTACCTAATTCTTTCATTTCTTCTGATGGGGGGAACTCCATAATTTTTGGGGATGGGTGACCAAATGTTGTAATGCATGTCCTTTAAATTATAAGATCTGTCATTGAGTCATGTTTTCTCTTGGTTCCCCAGTTTCCTCCCATAGCTAATATCCCTATAGCGCTTATGAATTAAGTTGTTAATCAGTTAAAGGGGTTGTTCCATAAGGTCTCATTGAGTCAACCAGCGTGGTTTCAATTCCCCGGTTGTACATTACAAGGAATAGAGTCGCCTGTCCAACCTCGTGGGTTTTCTCCCGGTCCTCCGGTTTCCTCCCCTGCTAAAGACCCTATGAGCAAGCGATTATTGAAATAGAATTAAACCCTATGTTAGTCCCGAAATGACCTAGTTAGTGTGGAGTGGACGTTAAACCCTATTTCTCTCTCTGTTAAATCAGTTCATGATGTAATTGTATATTTTATTATTACAGGGAGATGATAAAGAAAAGCAGAAGAAAGAAGCCAAATTTTTGAATCTCAGAAAAAGAAAATCACTATCAGAACTTTTTAAATATTTAACCAAAATGGGTAAATACATTTATATCATGCTCTTATGGAAAATAATTTTCTGAGTGGTTAATGCATCATAAGAGCTGTCATTGAGCTAAGTGGTGTAGTTTTGATTCTCTGCTTGTACATGACAAGGAGTAGGGTTGGCTGTCCAACCTCGTGGGTTTTCTCCAGATCATCAGGTTTCGTCCCACTGCTAAGGACAACTTAATGAAATAAAATTGAAATGTATATTGTGTCAAGTGGACGTTAAACCCCATTTCTCTCTATCTCTTTGTAACACTTTGGTCATTTTATTCAGACCTTTATCAGGGAAATGAAGTTCACAATGATTACATCTTAGAGTTATGACATATTTTTATTTATTACTAGGTTTATCGTACCGTAAAGGGTTAGTTTTAGAGGAAGATACACAGCAACTAGATTCTCTGTCATTACAGCCTTTAGATGTAACAGCTGCCATGTCCAAGCATAAAAGGTATATACTTGCATGTTTAAATATTTAACACTATAAATACTGAAATTATTCACATCATATCATATGGATTTCAAACCAGAGTATCGACTTGTCTGGGGTTAATTTTTTTGTAGAACTGACAGCTGAAATATCCAAGCATAAAGGGTATATTATATAATGGCCCTGCTTGATTTGTCAGTACTGGCGCATACCGGCTAACCACAGTTCGGCAGTTTTTGGGCGAGGTCACTTGATTTCACAGGAAGTCGACGAAAGTTCGGCAGCAGCGAACACCGGCGCAAGATGGTGAACATGTCAACAAGATAAAATTCACATTATTTAGGAATGCCATAAAACACTAATTTTAAAGCGTTAAAATTAAACCAAATGTTTTAAGTTGAATTTGATCTTCGTAAAACCAGAAGTTCATATGTCATTTATTTTTTCTCAGTAATATTACTAATAATAATTTTCTGCTTATTTTGCGGGCACTTTCAAGTCATACTTTCAAGAATACTTTTTTTGATTAAAACGTGTCATGTAACCGGTTTAATATTATAACATTATCTGACGCCATATTGTTTATCAGCCGGGTCACTTGATTTGCTTCGATACGCTAACCTGACCGGCGTACGCCGTAGTAGAAACCGGCTCACCTCAAGCGGACAAATCAAGCAGGTCCAATATCTTATACATGTCCAGAAATTAGATCTTTGGTTCTTCAAAAGATGTACAATATACATACCGAGTAAATCTCCAGGATATTATTTATAATTCTTGGATCAGGCCCCGAGTTCACAAAGCATTCTCAGACTTAAGTTAAGAAATTACTCAAAATTGATTGTCTTATTTTAACTAAAGTATAGACATTTATAACATTTTCGTTGTTTTAATGTATCAAATACATCAATAAGAAACTATGTGCAAAGTTTTGTGTTTCTGGATCAAAGATATTTCTCATAAACAGTGATTGAAAGTTTAGTAAATTCTTAACTTAAGTCCGAGAATGCTTTGTGAACTCGGGCCAGGGTTCCGGTTTGTTGGGGATCAACGTCTGAAGAGTTTATCGTCTGTAGAGCTGACAAGGGTGCTTGCTGACTTGTCGGGTGTCACCGCCTGAAGGGGTAATCACCTGTAGAGCTGACAAGAATACCTGTCTAGTTGTATGGATGGGAAACAAAAACAGGAATTCTTTCTCTACCCTTTCTAGATCATCTTAAACCCTTTTGTTACTGGGCACTATGATCTTCAAATTACTGTACCCTTTGCTATTCTAGACTATTCAAATAATAAAATGGGACCAATTTCTCAAAGTTTATGTAGAGTGTGATGATCCAATGACCGGGTCCCACGTAACTAAAAGCAATACTTTTATAGATTAGATATATTATTAACAATATTTGCTATTCTAGTCTCTTCAAATATAAAATTGGACCCATTTCCACTAGAGTCTTTGTAGTGTGTGATGATCCATTGACCAGGTCCCATGTAATGAAAAGCATAATACCAAATTCATGAAAGATACTTTTGTAGATTAGATGTATTATTAACAATTTTTTGCTATTCTAATAAGAGGCTCACTCACTGATGGCGATACATTCATAGATTAGAATTATTATTAAGAATATTGTCTATTCTAGGCTGTTCTAATAAAAGAAAGAGACTCACTCACCGATAGAGATATATTATTTGTAGATTAGATGTATTATTAACAATATTTGTTTCAGTGTTGGAGGTGAAGTATTATCTAGTCAATGGGAGAATTGTCAAGAGTATTTTTATCGATGTATAACTCGTAAAGCTCAGTTAGATCAGGCTATACTACAACCAGCTGCTGTAAGTTTTATATACTTTATTTTATAACCTTCGGTCTTATACCAATCGGTTGGGGGGGGGGGGCCAAATGGATAGCATGAGCGCGCTGTATCATACGGTCTGTCATTGAGTCAACTGGAGGGGTTTCGATTCTCCTGTTGTACGTGACAAGAAGTAGGGTCGCCTGTCCAACCTCGTGGGTTTTCTCTGGGTCCTCCCACTGCTAATGACCCCTATGCACAAGTGAATTATTGAAATAAAATTGAACCATATGTTAGTCCTGAAATGACCTAGTTTGTGTCGAGTAGACCTTAAACCCCATCTCTCTCTCTCATACCAATGGAGACCTATTACTCTTTAGTTTATGAACCTGTTATTGTCCCAGACTATTAAAATGGGTTGTCTGTCTGTGTGTCTGTCTGTCTGTCCGTCACACTTTTTGCGACACAATAACTCTTCTTCTAATTGACCTAGAATGTTCAAACTTGGTGTAGGTGTTTATTAGGTCAATGCCTTGATGGAGTTCGAAGATGAGCATTTTCTGCTTAGGGTAAGCAGAGATAAGCAATTTGATTGGTTGATGCTTTGGGACACGATAACTTTAGTTCTAATTAAGTGAGAGTGATGAAACTTGGTGTATAGTTTCATTACATCAATACCTTGACTAAGTTCGATGATGAGAATTGTCTGCTCTGGGTAAGCAGAGCGATAAGCATTTTGATTGGTCAAGACATTGGAACATAACTTCTAATTGAGGTAGAATGTTTAAACTTGATGTAGATGTTCATTAGGTGAATGTCTTTTCTGAGTTCAATGATTAACATTTCGATCTAAAGCTAAGCAGAGATAAGCAATTTCCTTGGTCGATGCTTTGGGACAAGATAACTTTGATTCTATCTGATAGAGAGTGATGAAACTTAGTGTATAGTTGATAATCAGTTTGATTGCTCGATACTTTTGAAAAAAATAGATGTACGATTAATTGATATGTGTCATCTATTTATTTGGGGATTTTGGCGGGGGACATCAGCCTCACTGTTGGCTTGTTGTTTAGTTGTAAAGAAAGGAGCTGTGGTGGCTCAGTGAGTAAGAGTTGGTTCGCTGAACTGGAGCCCCGTGTTTGATCTCAGTTTGGGGCAGAAAAAGTTCATTGTGATTTTCCGGCGTGGTTCCCCCATTGTCAGTTGTGCTGGCCTAACAAAGATGAAAAACCGAGGACCTGGGTACACATTGGCTTGCATGTAAAAAAAAAACTTGACCGTAGGAATTCGAAATTCGGTGCAGAAAAGTAGGATATGAATTTCATTTTATTTCAACTTAAATATACGGTTTCAGACTACATCGATATTCAATATACATGAAAAGTAATTATTTGTTTGTAATAAATTTCTATTGACAGGATCTTGGTCTGGGTAACAGTGAAAGATGTCGAGGTTTTTCTACTCATCTACATCATCTGTTTACTAAACAAAGACAGGAACTCGGAGAAACGTTCAATAATTATATAACTCTCAGGTATGTAGCTGTTGTGAGGTTCATTGTTCAATTAAAGATGTAACATTTACAAACTCATTAAAAAAATTTGTCCTAAAATCTGTCCGGGCAAAATTTTCCTCATAGCACCCTGTATGGCGTATGCCTGTCTTCATTAGTCCAGTCGGAGCAGAACAATAGGATGTTAAACCCCCATTTCATTTTGTGTGAAAAATAAACAAAGCAGAAAATATGTGACAGTTTCCTTTATAATAATTTAACAACACCTTGAATTAACGTCCATTTTGCTTAAAAGTTTGTTACAAAAATTTGTTCAGTCAAATTGATTTGTTTTATCATGGACCATATTTTTAATTATAAGGTCCATGGTTTTTTCTAATAGAAAAATATCGTCAGACCAAAGTTAGTTTTTACATTGTAAACACTAATTCCTTTCACAATAATTATTAGATTTCAATTATTTCATTTCAGAAAATTTTTGAGCGAGTTGAGAAATATAACCAAGTCCAACGATACATCCTTGCCACCACAAAACCATTTAAAACTTTGGCTGGTATATATAACTTAGTTGATGTAGTAGTAGTATGACGTAGTAGTGTCCCCTTGTCACTGGTGCAGGACAGAGTGTTGTCCCCTTGTCACTGGTGCAGGACAGAGTGGTGTCCCCTTGTCACTGGTCCAGCTTGGTTTCCAATTGTCAATGATGAAGGATAAGGGTCTGGAAAGGAAAATTATTTAGTCGGATTTGACTGGAAAAAAAAAATTCTGAGGTCTCATGGATGCCATTTGCATTACGGTACATTAACGATCCCCTTATAGCTGGAAATCGAAATGTTAAAAGCAAAATGTCCGTCATTATTCACGGTTTAGGGACATTTATTTTTATTTTTGTATGATTTGTATTTACAGGAGAGATTAAAAGTTTTAACAGTCCAGCTATTAGAAGGATTAAACCAGTATCTATTATTACTTTACGCATGTCCCAGACATCGTAACGATGGCAACGATTACATTTCACCCCTCTGTATAGAAGAGTTGTCTCCCATGTCAAAGGTTAAGAAGGAAGATCCATTGTGGCAGCAGTGTGTTGACACAATCAAGGTAAACATGGCTGAATTATTTCAAGAATTTCTGCATCTGCAATTTGAAAGTGGGTAAGACACTGGCTCGCTAGCCTGGAGGTCTGGTGTTCGATCCCTGCATTGGCTGAGAAAGTTCATCAGGATTTTCCGGCTTGGTTCCCCCCTTGTCAATGGTGCAGAACGGGGCGTCTGACAAGGACAGCTGTCTAGTCGTTCGGATGGTACGAAAAACTGAGGACCTGTATATACATTGGAGTGCACGTAAAAGATTCCTTGGCAGTTGGAATACGAGTAGGCCATAGTGCCGATGCCGAGGCAAAATTTCCCTCATAGAACACTGTATGGCATATGCCCGTCTTCATTAGCCCAGTTCGGAGCAGAACAGTAGGATGTTAAACCCCATTTCATTTCATTTGCCCAGTAGGAGCAGAACAGTAGGACGTTAAACCCCATTTCATCCCCTTTCCTTTCTACTAGGCTTGTCAAATAAAATTTGAGTAAAAAATACTTTCAGATTTGTCCTAGTGGTCATTATTCACACACTAGTCAAATATTCTATCATATTCAAATAGCCAATGAATGTTCAAATATTTTTATGGGCTCTAATTTCGTCATGAGAGGTATTCATGATAGAGTTTTACTCAGTGTAATGGAAAATTGAGTGTTAGTTTAAACAATATTTTATTCAATAAACTATATTTTATTCAATAAACTGAATTTTTTTTTTTTTTTTTAAACATATTTTTATTCAGGTTGACTGAATGGGATTGGGGGACAGGCTTAGCCTATGTAAAACCCCTCTCCCTAAACTGAATTGGATTGAACAACAGGCAAAGACCTATATAAGTTCTCTCCAAACATATAAAATAGTTAAATCTCATGTTTACAATACAAATTGAGTGTTGATGAGCAGTTCAATAACAATTTTTAGTTTATTTTTCCTAATTATATTGTTACATATTACAGGAACTGATCTCGAATACGTCTACAGAACATAAAAAACTTCTACGACTTTCTGATAAACTTTTCTTATTATGGTAAGTTGTACAGTTATAATATACAAATTATTTCTGGTATGAGATATAGAAAAACAAAGTTTTATTGGGGACTGTTCCAGAAAATAAGACTTTGTAGGCTGAGCCATAGAAAAAAAACTATCGAGTGACTGGATAAAGATAGTGAGGGAAGCACCTAATTTAGTTGTTTTAATTCATATTTTTAGTGGTTTATGTTCATACACAGTTTTAAAAATATGCCAGTTTGTGCCCTGTCCAAACTTTAAGCATGTTATATATATTATAATGTGTTGCCCAAACTGGCTATAATAAATTACATCAGCTGTATTTTTTATATTGACAATATTTTATATACCGTTAATCTCTACAGCTGGTACATTTTAAGTAACCCCTAACGTTGGTACGTTTTGAAGCTACAAGTCATTCAAATCATAACATATCCACCATTCAGCAATTATGAGAGCCAGACCCAAAGATATAACTTAATTTCTAACCGCTTCCCATAAACAGATGTTCAAATTAAATCTTGGGTTGGAAGAAGATCTTTCTGTTCTTTAAAGATGCAAATTATTTCAGTTTCAAGAAACCAAATTATATCAATTGTATCGATTTTAGTTTTATTGTTATAAATTTATTGTTAAATTTTCCCAGAACCTTCGTTATTAGTCTGCCATATTCTAGAATTTTACAAAGTTTTTTTGTATCTACATTTCAGGAAGGATTTTGACATCGTTGAAAATGTGTCTATAGTTTTAAGATCTACAAGTGAAAAATTATCAACAATGTCCAATTTATTCAAAGACCCTGTCTCGGGAACAAGTTGTGCTTTAAACGAACCATTGAATATCTTAGAAGAAAATATAACGTCTTGTATGGGCGAGTTCCAAGATTGGACAGAAACGTCCAAAAACCCTGTTGTGATGACAGAAGAACTTGTTTCTAGTGATAGCAGTGATACGGACATTGCTACTGGTGTAGATTCGGTGATAGAAAATGTTCTTTTGACCGTTCAAAAACTTTTAACGCATCATGCAGTAATAGATTCTACAAAAGATGGAGATGAAACAAAGTCTGCAGCTGAAGAATTAGAAAATGGTAGGGTTTTTGCAGTAGGATTGTTGGGGGAATATTTTGCAGTAGGATCGTTGGATGGAATATTTTGCAGCAGGATCGTTTGGGGAATATTTTGTAAATCAGTTCCATTCATTAAATCATTCATGTGTAGAAGTCAATGTTGTTTGAAATGTTTCCTTGGTTGCTATGGTTGTCATTGTGGTTACAGAATTCAACCTTTAGTTCCCATGTTTCCTTGTTGATATTGCCTACCGGACTTTGAGGGGGTTTGGGGGGGGGGGGGGCGACGAATGATTAATGTGTGTGCATTTGATCATAATGTCTGTCAATGAGTCAAGTGGCATGGTTTCGATTCACAACTTGTATGTGACAAGGAGTAGGGTCGTCTGTCCAACCTCGTAAATTATTGAATAAGATTGAACCATATGTTAGTCCCAAAATAACCTAGTTTGTGTTGAGTGGACATTTAACCCCATTTCTCTCTCTTTCTCTCTCTCTCTCCCAACTAAACTGACATTGGAGAGGGAGCCATGGCTACAGTGAGTAGTGGCACTGGTTTGCTGACCTGGAAATCATTTGTTTGATTCAGGTGTTGTCCGCGAAAGTTTCTCAAAATTTTCTGATACGACTCATTGACAGTTGGAATTCAATTTCTGTCCTGGCAAAATGTGATGACAACACAAATTTGTGAATTTAGTAGAGATATAAGATAATTGCATGCTTTTTTGTTATTTCAGAAGAAAATGATGATATTATAGAAGGTCATTTAGTAACAGGTTTAATTAGTGATTTAAAGACAGACCTCCATGAATTGCGATCTGCTCAGGTAATGGTTTGTACTGTCAGAGTGTTTTAGATTAACTCATTAAAGATACATTATGGGAGATTCGATAGAGAGCTGGCAGTTCTCACTATAATAGTTAAAAACTAGATAACGTAAAGGCAAATTGCTGAAAATTTCAGTCAAATTGATCCACTATGAACCGAGAATTAAGCAATTGAAATTTCGGCCAAGCCTCGATTAAGTCTGTTCGATGAAAATAGTCTCGATCATCCATTTCATGATTAAATTATGAATGGAAGTTGAGCAGCAAATGGAAATATCACAGGCTAGCGATGACATCAAGGGTTGATTATGGTCTGGATAGGTTAATTAATGTCTAATTAATAACTTCAGGCCTAAAGAAAGACTTGCAATTGGCAGATTTGGCTCTTGAATGTATGTTGTTTAATTATGTTTAAGTAAGTCTAAGCGGATGAAACAAATGTGAGAATTAATTACGCTAGGTGTTTAATGAGGTCGACTGTTGGTGCTATTGGACCCAATGAGTTAAGACAACTTGGATTTGCCAATACTTTGCACCTGGAAAACCATCTTGTCTGAATTTATTAACTTTTATCAACTTGATCATTATATTTCCAGATATCTACTTTGGTAAGAAGTTTAGTAGAGAAGATAGAGGCAATGTTTAATGAGGACACGTCAAAACCAGTTGGAAAAACAGGCCTTGTTTTATTATTACGATCTTATCCACTACTAGAACGATACTGTGAAATAACGGAATATTATTTAGCTCATGTGATTGGTTCTCATAGATCATGTGGTAAACTACTGTCTGTATTACTAGCGTTGTTTACAGAACTCGCTATGAAGGTACGTTAACTTTTGTTGGAAGGTTGGGTGGCTGAATAGTCTTAATGCATGCACCTTAAGATCATAAGGTCTGTTATTGAGTCGTGTGTGGTGTGATTTCGAGCCCACACTTGCATGTGACTAGAAGTAGGGTTTTCTCGGGGTTCTCCGATTTCCTCTCTCTCTGGTAAAGACCTCTACACTCAAGCGAATTATTTAAACGAAATAGCACAGTATTTTTATCCCGAAATGACCTAGTTTGCTACAAGTGGACGGTAAAACCCCATCTCCCCATTTATCTATCTCTTCATTTTTTCTGGAGCCACAACGAGTATGGCGCTGGATTTGATCCTGAGAAACTTCCTTCAGATTTTCCACTGTGGTTTTCTCTTATGGATGTTACAGGATCGGGGGTGTACGTGTCTAATCATTTGGATGAGACAAAAAGAAAAAGTTATGTTTGTTACATAAAAGAACCCTTAAAGATGGGTTCCCGCGTACAAACTCGGTGATTTAATGGTATATATGGACTAAAAACATATTCAAACTAATTAATTTGTCATAATTTTGCTTCAAATCTTTCTCAAACATTGTAATTGCGAAGGAATGTCCTGCAATAAAAATTTGATCAAACCAGGTCACGTTTACGTCACATGACTTACCTCTCTTGGAAGTCAGAGGAGAATTCATTGGATACATAAGACGATGTTGTCTTTAATCGCTTACTATTTATTACAAATATCAAATCCTAATTAAATTCTTGGATTATCCACTACCCGCGTCTTTTTCCGTCATTTTATCTCAGAAAGTGTTGTACGTCTAACTGTTCATAAAGTTTATCAACTTGTACATCAAGCGCTCAATGTTCGCGTGTGACCTTTGACATCACATGTGCAGAAATTCCTAATCGTCGGGCTGTCGATTAGGGGAAGCCTTACATTTTTGTCCTGTATATTTTGTGTTTTTCGGGGAATCCAGTATTTTTCTAGTAAGATTGGATATCTCTACTTTCCATATATACCAAAATTACCATACTTCTATAGGAAATAACCACCCGATAAATACTTTTCTGGGAACCCATCTTTAACAGTTAGAATTTGATGAAGGATGGGTTGGTGCCAAAAAGTAGGACTTTAAACCCCATTTCATTTATGTTGTTTTAGTAAAGATGTACAAACAGCCTATTTAGTTTCAGAATGTTTATATGTATAATGTATATTTTTAGGGGTTCTGTGTTCCCCCTGAACTAAGTGATGAGATGGAGAAGGAGGGTGCTACAGATTTTAAGGATATAGAACAGGGAGGTTTAGGAGAAGGGGAAGGGGTTAAAGATGTCAGCGATCAGATAGAAACAGAAGATCAGGTAAATTAGTTAAAATATTTTAAAAACTAAACAACTTTTATTGGGTGACCCACAGAGTCAAAACAGAACAACTTTGGTTGGGTGACCCATGCAGTCAAAACAGAACAACTTTGGTAGAGTGACCCATGCAGTCAAGACAGAACAACTTTGGTTGGGTGACCCACACAGTCGAAACAGGACAACTTTGGTAGGGTGACCTACACAGTCGAAACGAAAAAACTTTGGAAGGGTGAACCATGCTGTCAAGACGGAACATCTTTCGAAAATTAAAAGCTTTCAATCTTTAAACCAGTTCATCGTATAACCAATAACAAAACCATGTGCAGACCTCTTGGGGCGTGACCAGGAATAGAGTCGTCTGTCCAACCTCGTGGGTTTTCTCTGGATCCTCTTGTTTCCTCCCACTGCTAAAGACCTGTACACGCAAGCAAATTATGGAAATAAAATTGAACCATATGTTTGTCCCGAAATGATCTAGTTTGTGTTGAGTGGATGTTAAACCTCATTTCTCTCTCTCTATAGATGAAATATGCCAGTTTGTGCCCTGTCCAAACTTTAAGCATGTTATATATATATTATAATGTGTTGCCCAAACTGGCTAGAATAAATACACTTGTACATTATGTTTACTTCTAAATATTGTATAATATTGAAGTTTTATTATTACATGTGTAACAATCCTAGAACATTTAGTCAATGGCAACTACCTGATTCTTTCATTTCTTACTTCTGATGGATGGCTCTATCATTTTGGGGGGTTGGATGGCCTAATCTCTCTCTCTCTCTGGGTTACAAGTAATACAAGATAGTGGTCTATTTGGTTTAAGTGCTTGACTATAGCCCCATTGAGAGACATCTTATAGCAATCTGTCCAGTTTATTTATAATAATTGTAACCTATTCTCTACAGTTGGATGATGCTAGAAAAGCTGGTGAAGAGAAGAAAGAGGAAGATGACAATCCTAACGTAGCACCTGAAGATAACGCAATAGAAATGTCTGATGATTTTGATGGTAAACCACAAGATTTAGAACAAGAAGGTAAGTTTCACAGTCTTCTCTCATTATTGGATCGCGCGCATTCCGACTCATTTTGCCGTGGGCGGTCACATATTCGACCGGCTATGCTATGCACCACCTGTTTTGTAATTTATGGAATATATTTGATTTTTTGTAGGGGTTGGATAGCCGAATGGTTAGCGTGTGCCCGCTGTATCATAAGGTCTGTCATTGAATCAACTGGTGTGGTTTCGATTCCCAGTTGTACATGACATGGAGTAGGGCCAACTGACCAACCTCGTGGGTTTTCTCCGGGTCCTCCGGTTTCCTCCCACTGCTAAAGACCCCTACGCACAAGCGAATTATTGAAATAAAATTAAACCATATGTTAGTCTTGAAATGACCTAGTTTGTGTCAAGTGGGTGCTGAACCCCATTTCTCTCTCTCTCTTTACTGAATGGAGTAAGGAATCATTTGTATATTTTAGGTGAAGATGATAAAGATGATGATAAAGATGAGGATGAAGATGATGATATAGAGAAACAGATGGGAGAATTAGACGAGAAGGATACTGATAAATTAGATGAACAACTGTGGGGTAGTGATGAGGAAGATGAACAAGAACCGGTATGAATTCACTTAAAGGAGCTAAATTGCTAATATTTGGCACCTAGAAATGGACACAAATGGGTCACAACGCATATAATAATGTAATATGAATGGTTATAAACTGATTTACATTCAATCGTTTCCGTTTTTGCTCTAATTTCAAATCAGATCTGTTCGGTGAAATACACCAGAAGTCTCAATCGATTGGCAAACTCTAGTGTCTGGTTATTCCAGTCTACATCAATAGTATTTATTGCGCATGCTCTCCAGAGTATGTATAGCCTCGTTGTTACAAATGGCGCCGAAACGCATTATGGTAAAATGTTTATTTTGTCTTAAATATTGGATATCAGAAGTCCATCTTTTAAGATCACAACATCAATGTTGATTTAAATTGACAAATAATTTGTGTCTTCAATGTCAAAGATTTTGGATGATATTGAGTTAGAGACTTAGCTACTTTAAGTTCAGTTGGAACATTCTCCTTGATGTTCGGTTGGGGTGTGTGGTGGGTGGGTGGTTTAATGTATGCACCCTGTATCATAAGGTCTGTCATTGAGTCAACTGGCATGGTTTCGATTCTCCGCATGTACGTGACTTTGTGGGTTTTCTCCTGGGCCACCGGTTTCATCCCACTGCTAAAGACCCCTACATGTAAATGAAATCTTGAAATAAAATTATTAGTCCCGAAATAACCTAGTTTATGTCGAGTGGACGTTAAACCAATTTCTCTCTTTTAGTAGGCCAAATTGGGAAGGCCAAAATTAATGGATTTTCTTGCAGATCTGTAAATGTTTTGATCTTTCTATGGATGAGTTGAAATACATATATATACCCTTAAAGATATATAATGTAAGACTTAGATAAAGAGCTAGCCATTCTTGCTATAATAGTTCGAAAATAGATAATGTAAAATGAATCATTTGAAAATTTCATTCAAATTACTCTTTTGTGAGAGAAGATATTAGCCTTTGAAGTTTTGACAAGACGTGTGCAATAATTTCAACCAATAATTTCGAATAAGTTCGAAAATAGATAATGTAAAATGAATCATTTGAAAATTTCATTCAAATTACTCTTTTGTGAGAGAAGATATTAGCCTTTGAAGTTTTGACAAGACATGTGCAATAATTTCAACCACCGCATTGGTTGTTTGAAGCTAAGTCTCGCTCCTCCATCTTTAGTCTTAATCAAAATATGGCTGAACTGTTCTAATCTATTTAATATCGGAGAAATTCGATGCCATCGAGAGTTGATTATGGTCTGGATAAGTTAATTGATGTCTAATTAATAATTTAGAAACCATTTAGGCCTACAGAAAGACCTGCAATAGACAGATTTAGCTCTTGCATAATGTATGTTTAATAAGGCCTGTATTTATTATAGGAAGAGAATCCTAAAGATGAGACGGGACCAGGTGACGGTCAGAAGGAAGAGAATCAGTTGGTAGCTAAAGATGATAACCAGGATAAAACAACAGATAAAAAACAGGAGGAAGACAAACAACAACAAGAGGAGAAGGAGGAAGATCAAATACATGACATGGAAGATATACAAGAGGTAACTTTCTACTTTCGATTCCCCGGTTGTAGAGTCGCCTGTCCAACCCCGTGGATTTTTTCCGGGTCCTCTGGTTGCCTCTAACTGCTAAAGACACATACGTGCAAGCAAATTATTGAATTAAAATTGAACCATGTGTTAGTCCCAAACGTTAAACCCCAGCATGTAATTCAATAGTTTAATGACTCGTAAATTATTCCCACTTACACCTATTCTCGAATTACAAGTTTTCGCAGCATTACTGAACAAGTTTCCCAAGTTACATGTACAAGTTTTCGCGGCGTAACTGCGCATGTTTTTATCTGCATTAAATCAACAGACACATGGAAAACAGGCCTTAAACATTTTGTTAATTTATTTTTTTATCAGGAGGGATATAATGAAGATAAAGTAGACGCTAATCAGGGAGACAGCAAGGAACCGGATCCAGTTCCAGAGTCGATGGAATTACCAGAGGACTTAAACCTGGATGCAGACGAAGGCGGAGAGAAAGAAGAGGAAACAGAAATGGAAGATCCTGGTAATTATACTGGACTTTTAAAACCTAACTTCTAACCCTCCCTGAAAAAAAAAAATCCTACCCAGAGGTCAAGGTCAATTGTAGGTCAGATATTTGTGAAAGTGCCTAACATACTACTTAAACTATAAGTTTTCTACTTATAAATAGGTTGATCTGCTGTCTCTAAAGGATGTGGGGGTGGATGGCCGAATGGTTAGTGTGTGCACGTTGTATCATTAGTTCTGTCATTCAGCTGGTGGGATTTCAATTCCCCGGTTGTACGTGACAAGGAGTAGGGTGACCTGTCCAACCTCGTGGGTTTTCTCCAGGTCCTCTGTTTTCCTCCCACTGCTAAAGATCCCTACGCGCAAACGAATTATTGAAATAAAATTAAACCATATGTTAGTCCCGAAATGACCTAGTTTGTGTCATGGACGTTAAACCCCATTTCTTTCTCTCTCTCCTATAGGGGATCACGGTGGCTAAGTGGGTAAGGCGCTGGCTCGCTAGCCTGGAGTGGTTCCCCCTTGTCAGTGATGCAGGACGGAGGGCCTGACAAGGACAGCTGTCTAGTCGTTCGGATGAAACGAAAAACCGAGGTCCTGTGTACACATTGGCATGCACGTAAAAGATCCCTTGACAGTTGGAATTCGATATAAGAGTAGGCCGTAGTGTTGCTGTCCGGGCAAAATTTCCCTGATAGCACACTGTATGGCGTATGCCCGTCTTCATTAGCCCAGTTCGGAGCAAAACAGTAGGACGTTAAACCCCATTTTATTTCATTTTCATTTCTCTCTCCAATATGTTTCATATCATTTCATTTTTGTTGAAAAAATGCAAACTGTCATTTTACAATGCAAATGAACACATAAATTCCAATGAAATCCAAAAACCATCCCATCAGCAAAAAGGGTTTTGAAATTTAACTAAAACGTGGTTTGTTGAAATAAAATATGTATTTTTAACGGTTGTGTATTTTGATTATTTCTGTTTTAGCTAAAATATATATTTTTAACGGTTGTGTATTTTGTTTATTTCTGTTTTAGCTAAAATATATATTTTTAACGGTTGTGTATTTTGTATATTTCTGTTTTAGCTAAAATATATATTTTTAACGGTTGTGTATTTTGTATATTTCTGTTTTAGCTAAAATATATATTTTTAACGGTTGTGTATTTTGTTTATTTCTGTTTTAGCTAAAATATATATTTTTAACGGTTGTGTATTTTGTTTATTTCTGTTTTAGCTAAAATATATATTTTTAACGGTTGTGTATTTTGTTTATTTCTATTTTAGCTAAAATATATATTTTTAACGGTTGTGTATTTTGTTTATTTCTATTTTAGCTAAAATATATATCTTTAACGGTTGTGTATTTTGATTATTTCTGTTTTAGCGGAGGGTAAAGAAGATGAGGGGGAGATAACTGAGGAAACATCCGATGATAAACCTGAAGAAGGAGAAGAAGAAAACCCAGAGAAAGATGAAGAAAGTAAAAAAGATGATGAAAAAGATAATCAAGATGGTGTTGAGGAAGTAGGTTTACTTGGTCGTTCTTATTTTATGATTCAGTGGGACAACAAAACAAATTCCCTGATACAACTTCTCATATACGAGGAGTAGTGGCAGGTATCTTACTAGAGGCAGTGTATGCTTACTTTTTCTAGAACAACTGATACCACTACTATTTACAGGGAGTAGTATAACATGAGGTGTCATACTAGAGGCAGTGTATGCTTACTTCATCTAGAACATCTGATACCACTTCTACTATATACAGGGAGTAGTAACAAGCGTTGTACTAGAGGCAGGGTATGCTTACATCTGATACTACTCCAACTATTAAGGGAGTAGTAACAAGTGTCATACTAGAGGCAGGGTATACTTACTCTATTTAAAACATCTGATTCCACTTCTAATATACAAGGAGTATTAACAAGTGTTGTACTAGAGACAGGGTATACTTACTCTATCTAGAACATCTGAATCCACTTCTCACTTGAGTTCGCATACTTGTACCATTTCCATTAATTTATCTTACATTAGGGGAAGACTATAGCTTGTAATTGAGCTAGAATTTTTAAAATTTGTTTCAGTTCGTTTTAAAAATATGCCAGTTTGTGCCCTGTCCAAACTTTAAGCATGTTATATTTATTATAATGTGTTGCCCAAACTGGCTAGAATAAATATTACATCAGCTGTATTTTTTATATTGACAATATTTTATATATTGTTGTTTATCTCTTCAGCTGGTACATTTATAAAATTTGTTAAGACAATTTGAATTCTTTTTTTACGTCATATATTCTGACACACCGGCCATATTTTATGTTATATTGTTGTCTATACAGCTAGTGCATTTATAAATGTTAACGCAATTTGAATGATATCCCATATTCTGAATTCCTGCAGTGATTTAACCGTTCTGCTCATGATAATCAGTCTGGAGGCTCAGTGCAGAGGAGTGTCCATCTAATGGGCACAAAACGCGACCCAACTTTTTTAGAGTAAAATTTTCCGTAGAATATGATGCCGAGTGGTAATCAGTCCGCCATTGGGGGCGTTCTCGAGATATTCGGGGTCAAAGGTCAAACGAAAGTGAATGCACTGAAAGTGAATGCGCAGCCATTCTTGTATCATGAAAACATGCTGAAAATGATCGAATGTAACCAGCCTATCAGTAACCCCCATATGCATTCACTGAGCCTCTGGTCTAAAATCTACATTCTATGCTGCTGTATCACACAACCAATTTGTATCTAACTAAATGGGTTGATTGCGTGGAATTATATATTTTCTGTTTCAAACTACACAAATGTATATCATAGTCACGTTGCCCCACCCCCCAACATCACCCCTCCTAGTGTTACGAGTCTGGACATGGGATACATGTTTTCTGGGTATTTTTTAATGTTTAGTAATTATTTGATGATATTATTTACACCAGGAGAAAGAAGAAGCCGGAGATAAAGGTGTTGATAATCCTGAAGATATAGGTAAAGATGAAGAGGATAGGAAAGAGGAGGAGGGAAAAGGAGATCCTGGTTTTACAGCTGATGTAAGGATTCTACTTTTGTTTTCTATTCTCTGCAAAAATATGACAAAGAGTAGTCATTGTTTGTAATAGGTGCTGTTTGACATTAAGGAGAAGACATTTCAGTAAATGATGCTGGATTGTTCTGCATAGATTTTTAAAACCAAAACTTTAAACCTTGTGAGTTTTCTCTGGGTCCTCTAGGTTTCCTCCCACTGCTAAAATTATTGAAATATAATTGAATCATGTCAGTCCCATAATGACTTACTTTGTGTCTAGTAGATGTTAAACCCCCATTTCTCTATCTTTCTCTCTCTCTCGTAACCCTAACAATAGTATATGAAAGCCAGTCCCTCATTCGATATTATAAATATGATATCAGATAAGAAAGGCTGGCGATAGTAAATAGTTGTTGTTGTTCTATATATAGGATAGATTACATTTATTCCTTCCTTATAAACAACAAAACAACAGATTTGAAATATGTCCACAACATTATGACGTATACCGGAGTAATTCCCCTTACAGGGGAGTTCGATGGCTGAACGATTAGCATGTGCGCGTTGTATCATAAGGTCTGTCATTGAGTCAACTGGCATGGTTTTAATTCCCCGGTTGTTCATGACAAGGAGTAGGGTCGCCTGTCCAACCTTGTGGGTTTTCTCCGGATTCCTCCCACTGCTAAAGACCCCTATGCGCAAGCGAATTATGGGAATAAAATTGAACCATATGTTAGTCCCGAAATGACCTAGTTTGTGTCGAGTGGACGTTAAACCTCATTTCTCTCTCTCTCTCTCTCTCTCTCTCTCTCTCTCTTTCTCTTTCTCTTCCGCTTACAAGGCCCCTTACAATCCACCCAGATCATAATTCTGTATGATGCTGTGTATAAGAAAGGATTATATACAAGTGTTAAAACTATTGTATACCTTTGCCGAGACTCCCCAGATCTTGACTCCTTCGGCTTTAGACTGCTTACTCGAATTATGACCATTGCCAGAAAGTATCATGGTAACCTGACCAAAAGTAAACAGGAACTTCCAATGGGTTTATTCATTGCACAACAACAAATGGGTTACAGTATAGACAACAGGGTAATCTGCCAATGTAATATAATACACTTTTATGATTTGACCAGGATGAAGAGAAGGATGATGGAGAGACAGAAGAAGAAATGAAAGATAAAGATGATAAATCAGAGAAAATAGAAACACATGGTAAAACATCACATGATACACCTAATATAGAAGAGAGTGACACAGCCCAGGATGACGCAGCTAAAGCTGATAACCAACAGGAGGAGGTCAGTAAATAATAAATATATACTTTATGGGAATGGGAGCTGTGGTTATTAGTACTTCTGGAGCTGTTTTAGTCGGGATGCTATCTAGAGGCTGTGGTAGTTATGGGAATGTGAGCTGTGGTATTAGAACTGTTGGAGCTGTTTTAGTCAGGATGCTATCTAGGCGCTGTGGTAGTTATGGGAATGTGAGCCGTGGTAATTAGAACTGCTGGAGCTGTTTTAGCTAGGGGCTGTGGTAGTTATGGGAATGTGAGCTGTGGTAATTAGAACTGTTGGAGCTGTGTTAGTTAGGATGCTAGGGGCTGTTGTAGTTATAGGGGCTGTTGCAGTGATGGGATTTCAAAATTTTAGTTGTCGGACATTTTCTTCCCGGAAATAAAGGGACATAACTCTTATCGTTATTTAAGCAGGCGTTTTCAAACCACAATTAAGAATCATGTGTCGACAAAATATTCAAATTCATACGTAATAAAAAAATTAGATGCTTTCGTAATTTTTCATATTTAATTCCCGTACGGTATTCAAATTTATGTTGATAATATTCCTAAAAAATTACATGACATCGTAATTCCCCCCAAATTACCGTATTTTTCGGGTCATAAGTTGATACTTTTTTCCGCATTCGTCTTATACTCCGTTTCGATTTATATAGGGGGGTTGGATGGCTGAATGGTTAGCGTGCGCGCGCTGTATCATAAAGTCTGTCATTGAGTCGACTGGCGTGGTTTCGAATCCCCGGTTGTACGTGACAAGCAGTAGGGTCGCCTGTCCAACCTCGTGGGTTTTCTCCGGGTCCTCCAGTTTCCTCCCACTGCTAAAGACCATTATGCGCAAGCGAATTATTGAAATAAAGTTGAACCATATGTTAGTCCCGAAATGACCTAGTTTGTGTCGAGTGGACGTTAAACCCCATTTCTCTCTCTCTCTCGATTTATATACGGAAGGTAAAAAAAATGACATCCCGAAATTTATTTGGCCATAAACCGTAGTAAACGTCGCTCTAACAGAACGAGTGAGTGACACCAACTCTTAGTACGCGCTATCGTCTAAAAACAATTACTGTAACTACTTACGTTTTTCCAATCGAAATATTCGTCCACATTTCTTAACGTGTTTATTTATTTATTTAAAAACATAAACCCCATTCAAAATATGATCATAAATCCGACAATATGTCATCAAAATAGAATCTTTTCTGCCGTCAACAGACGTATTACATTCGGCACGTTTACACCTCTTAATTCCACGTGTCTCGCGAGATTTCTACTTTCATTTTGCGTGTGTGTGAAATAGCTTTATTTAACTTCGGCTTCCACTGAAGAAATATCACAGACAAGTTATCGGACGCAATGATTTGGGGTTTTATATACTATTAGGATATGTGACATATATGACTAATGTCTACGGCCGGCATCAAGGAGATCAAAACGTGAGATAATGGAGAAATCACGAGTTAATCACATAGATAAAGTTTATTGGATTGATATATAGTCCAACAAAGGAGAAGCAATGACTTCTGTTCAGGATTGAATTGATGAATTGTCCGACAAAGAATTATGTCAGCCAATCAAGGCAGATTAAGTAGTTAATCAAGGTAGGTGTATAGGCGGCATAAAACGAAAAATACGCTGATCACTTAATTACCTAATCAATCCATCCTATTATTAACGATAATCGGGTTGAGTAGTAGTTATGCACTCAGTACACTAAATTAATTTTGGAATTTTGAATATTATTTACCATGTCTTGATGTCCTATTGGGCATATTCCTGGTCGGACAATTTAGGACGTTTGGAAAATAGCGTCGGACATGTCCGGAATATACGGGCAAAATCCCATCACTGGGCTGTTGTAGTATATTGGGGGTTAGATGTTGTTTTAATGACATTGCTAGGGCCTACGGACTGTTTGAGTATGGGGTTTGGGGCTGTAATAGTTTGTTAGGACACTATGTTAGGGATGGTAGTAAGGAAGCCAGGGACTTTGGTAGTTAGTGAACTCCTTGAATCCCTTTATTTCGTGATTTTAAACCGAAGTAAAGGAGTTAAATAAACATTTAACATGTTAGTCCAGATATGATCCAATTCTGTTGATTTGGCATTAAACCATTTTTCTCTCCTTCTCTTCCAGAAAGTAGGAAGTGGTATGGCCGACACACAACAAGATGAAGGTCATGAAGGTGAAAAGTCATCGGAGGTCACTCAGGGGTCAAATAAAAACAGAAAAGTAAGTACGGAAGTTATATCTTTGGAATCATCGGAATATGCAGAAAGGAATATTAAAATCTAGTGAAAAAGGGGGATTTCGGATGTACTGATGGAATAAGTAAATGTTTTAAGTAACCCCAACAACTGTCTGTGATATCATCTGTTGAGCCCGATGAACCAACGAACGAACGAACCAATCAATAAAGCTGAACGTATTTGCTCACGATATTACTCACACTACAAGACTGAACTCTGTATCACTCAATTGCAATTCTGTCAAGTCTGAATGTTTCACACAAACCACTGCATATTCCAGAAATCCCTCATGGTTGTAGGGCCTGACAAGGTCAGCTGTCCAGGCGTTCGGTTGGGATAAAAAAACGGGGTCCCATGTACGTAAAATATCCACAGGTAGTTGGCATTTATTATAAGAGTAGACCATAGTGTCACTTTCCGGGTAAAATTTCCCTCATAGCACACAATATGGTGTATGCCCATCTTCATTAGTTCAATTGGAACAAAACAGTTGGACATTAAATCCCTCTTGAGCAATATTCTGCTATTCTCGGGTTAATCACTCATACTGAATTTCACCAGTTATGACGTTAAATGTCCGCAATTGACATTATACACTTCTACATTAACATATTTAGAGCTGCAATTAATCCAGATTTGATTTGTTATGTTGTTATGGATTGGTTGTTAGCCCGGCCAGTCATAATTTGGGACAGGTATGAATCCAGCAGTGTTTGAGTGGGATTGTCTTAATGGAACGAAACACTGCAAGGAGTATGTAACACTCGAGAATCTCCTAAGTAACCCTTCATCATCTTCAAATGAGACTGGTAGATTTTGAAAATGAAATGAAATGGGGTTAAACGTCCTACTGGTCTGCTCCGACTGGGCTAATGAAGACGAGCATATGCCAAACAGTGTGCTATGAGGGAACTTTTGCCTCGGCAGTGGCACTATGTCCTATTCTTATATTGAATTCCAACTGCCAAGAGATATTTTACGTACACGCCAATGAATGCACAGGACCTCGTTGGGTTTATTGTGCCATCCGAATGACTAGACAACTGTCCTTGTCAGACCCTCAGTCTCGCACCACTGACAAGGGGAAACCATGTCGGAAGTTAGATTTTGAATTATGTAAAGGTTGTGAATGGGTAGAAAAGAAGTACCTATTTGTAATAATAATATATTTTTTTCAAACCTATTTGTTTTGTCATCAGGAGAAGAAACGTCAGCCTGGTAAATCTGATGAAGATCGTAGTCTTGGTGTTCCAGACCAGTCTTATAAAAGATTAAAGACTTCTGATGAAACTAGTCATGATCAAGAGGTATTTCTTATCTTTTTGCTTATCTAATATTGTCTATCCATGGTGGAAGTGGACATGACCGATGCAATTTGATATTGTTGACCATAGAAAAAAGGCATTTCTCTCTAAGTAGAGATGTATGGATAGATTCCTGTTATTTTCATTGAATTCATGAACCAATTGTTTAAATCTGCAGACTTTTTAATTTCTAAATCATTTCCATTTGGAAAAACATAATCGAAAGTTTCTGTGATAAGATTATTGAGATGATTGATCTTTTTGCCTGTTTTTTTTTTTTAGGAAGAAGAGAAAAATCAGGAGAAGAAGGAGGGTGATATTTACGAACATATAAAAGATTCTAAATCACATCACGACGCTCAAACACTTGACGCGGCTACGGATGAACAACTGGAGAAACAATCCGTACTTAAAGAGGAGAAGGAAGATAAACCGGAAGAGCAAACAGATGATATAAAACCTATGGAAGAGGAGGATAATCAAGAGGTATTGTTATGTTACTAAAACAACTTATTCATATTAAGAAATAGTGGTCTGAAGTCTTCTTCACTTTCTTGTGCTAAAATGAGTTACTTCCCTTTATTATAAAACCTATGGACGACGAGGACAATCAAGGGGCACTGTCATGTACTCCGTTACTAAACCAATTAGCCCATATTATTAAGAAATAGTGGTCTGAAACCTTCTTGGGTTCCCTTTGCTGAAATGCCTGACAAGGACAGCTGTCTAGTCGATCGGATGGGATGAAAAAACACATCCTGTGTGCACGTAAAAGATCCCTTGGCAGTTGGAATTCGATATAAGTGTAGGCCGTAGTGCCGCTGTTCGGGCAAAATTTCCCTCATAGCACACTGTATGGCGTATGCCTGTCTTCATTAGCCCAGGTTAGGAGCAGAACAGTAGGACGTTAAATTTCATTTCATTTTATTTCTGTGTAGGATGATATGGAGGTAGAGAAGAAAGAGAGTAATAAAGTCAAAGGTAAAAAAACAGAACAAGGTTTGGAGGATATGAACATGGAGATGAAGATGGAAGAAGAAATGGATATGGATAGAGAGAAAGTAGAAATAGAGGGAGAACGAGTTTTAACTATGACGGTTGGTCGTGGTCCAGAATCTACCATTCATACAGCTATAGAGAATTTACATTTGGATAGTACGGTAGGTAGACCCTAGATCTTGACCAACAGAGGTTTTTAATGTCTGAGGGGTTGGATGGTCGAATTGTTAGCATGTGCGCGCTGTATCACGCGGTCTGTCATTGAGTCAACTGGCGTGGTTTTATTTCCCCGGTTGTACATGACAAGGAGTATTGTCGCCTGTCTAGCCTCGTGGGTTTTCTCCGGATACTCCAGTTTCCTCCCACTGCTAAAGACCCATATGCACAAGCGAATTATTGAAATAAAATTGAACCATGTGTTAGTCCCAAAATGACCTAGTTTGTGTCGAGTGGGCGTCAAACCCCAATTCTCTCTTCTAATGTCTGTCCATTAGACACTAGCCAAGTTTTTTTCGGGACTGGCATATGTCCCTGATTTCTACAATTTACTAGCGCACAGGGATCATTAGATGTGGGAGGTAACTGGATCTTTACGAGCAGAGGATTTTAATGTCTGTCCATGATATATCTCTGACTCCAACATTATGCTTGCGCCCATTTGGGAGAGAGCAGAGGAGTTTAATGACCCCTAGATACTAGCCAAGGTTTTTTCGGATCTAACATATGGTATATTTTTGGTTTCTACAATTTGCAAGTGCACAGGGATCATTAGGTGTGGGAGGTAACTGGATTAACTCAAGAAAATCCCACTTCTTCCAAAATACAATAGATAGATGACAGCACTCAGACCCTCCCTTTTTAATAAAACCCACAGACAACCCTACTTCTTGCTGCATGTAAGCGAAGGCAGAGAAAGTTCATCCAGAATTTCTGGCGTGGTTCCCCCTGGTCAGGGATGCAGGACGGAGGGCCTGACATGGACAGCTCTCTAGTGGCTCAGATGGGACGAAAAACCAAGGCGCCAAAAACCATTGGCGTGCTCGTAAAAGTTCCCTTAGCAGTTGGAATTCGATGTAAGAGTAGGCCATAGTGCCACTGCCCGGGCAAAATTTCCATTATAGCACACTGTAAGACATATACCTGTCTTGATTAGCCCAGTTTAGGATCAGAACAGTAGGACGTTAAATCCCATTTCATTTCTGTTATCAATTGATTTACTTTGAATCTATTTATTTCAGCCATCAGAGATAGACTTGGAGAAAATTCGAGCAGATTTAGAAGAAAATGTCAGCTTGTGGTCTCATCAGTCATTGACTACTCCTGAACAGGTTCGTTAAATATTATTACCCAACACCAAACAAAGGTAATGGGTGGGGAGGGGGGATATTGAAAGGAACACCTTCAATCCCGATTTTGTTTCTGGAGAATAGTTCACAAACATTTCAAGATGTCTTTATGACCTTTTATAGTAGTTATTTGTCTTTTGCAATCTGATTAAAACACAGATCCTATTTCGTTTCGTTTTTATAGTTCAAAATTTCGTTTTACTTGTCTTTACTACACTAGGATCTGGAAGAGTTGTTATCATTGACGTGTTCTGGATGGTATGAGGGATTAGCCAATGAAACAGTCTGTTACGGCAAGCTTTAGGCATGTTTTGCACTGAACTGTGGGTAATCCACTAGTAACATCAATGCTGATTGGTTAATGAAATGTCTGAATTCATAGGGTCAAAAGCCGCTCATATGACCACTGACGCGACCTATCGCTACAACTTGTCAGATCTTATGTAGTGTAGGCCATCGAGAGTATAAAAATACTAAAGGAAATATACATCTGTATTTTAATCAGATTGATGTCTTTTGCTAGTAAAACTTTTCTCGGATTTAAGCACTTTTGTGCTTCCATGGAAACAAATTTGACGAAGTTTTTGGCATACAAGGTTGCAGGATTTTTATGACATAAGTCTTCATGTTTTGTGTAGTAACAATTTATACTGTATTTAGCGTGAAAAAAAAAACTGGTCCGTCTAAATTGCTATTTAGAACAGATCGAACTATTCTTCTTTGTTTTGTTTTTCAGATGGCAGAAGCAAGTTTAGCGTGGCAGAGATATGAAGCTCTGACGTCCAGTCTTTCACAAGAATTATGTGAACAATTGCGATTAGTTTTAGAGCCTTCACAAGCAACCAAACTCAAGTAAGTCCAAATATTTGAAGTCAAAAGGTCCAAATATTTGAAGTCAAAAGGTCCAAAGATGGGCTTTGAAGGAGATAGTTTATCTGATTCGATATTCTAAAGATCAATTTTAAGAAAAATACAAGAAGATGTTTCAATCTGGTGTACCAAGCTTAAGAATGACCATGTTTTTAGTAATTCTGACAAATTTGTTTATGTCAAAATTCTAGATTGCATGGTTCAGATGCTACCCTTTAATTAACAAAAGCTAGAAGAAGTTCAATATGGCCCCCAAAGCTTCAAATTGGCCATGTGTTTAGTAAATCAGACGAATTGGTTCAATTTGTGTCAACATTCTAGGTGTCACGTTGCAGGTGCTGTTTCAAAATTCTTGATGCTGAGCTACATGCATAACTTAGAATTAAAGAATGCTAGAAGCTGTTTATATCTGATACATAATTAATTGGGTTTTGTTTTTGTTTATAGAGGAGATTACAGAACGGGTAAAAGATTAAATATGAGGAAGGTCATACCATATATAGCAAGTCAGTTCCGTAAAGATAAAATCTGGTTACGAAGAACGAAGCCATCGAAAAGACAATATCAGATAATGCTAGCTATAGATGATTCTTCTAGTATGTTGGATAACCATTCCAAGCAGGTAATGTATATAGATAAACATATAACACATAGCTAACAGCCTTCAAACAGGTCATGTATATTGATAAACCTATAACACATAGCTAACAGTCTTTAAACAGGTCATGTATATTGATAAACATATAACACATAGCTAACAGTCTTTAAACAGGTCATGTATATTGATAAACATATAACACGTAGCTAACAGTCTTTAAACAGGTCATGTATATTGATAAACATATATAATACATAGCTAACAGTCTCATTCACTGGGGGTTGGGATGGCCTAGTGGTCTAGAGTGCCGCGCTTCACCTCTGGCTTGCGGTTGTAGTTTCGATCCCTGGTGTGAGTGTATGTGGCTTGGAGATAGGGGTGCCTTCTCAACCGCGTGGCTTTATTCCGGGTACTCCGGTTTCCTCCCACAGGAAAGACCCCTGCGCTTACGCTAAGATAATGAAAATAAAAATAAGACAACTTGTCTGCGATATCACCTTCGGTGGAAGCGAACTTTAAACACTAAGTACAACAATCTCATTCACTTTTACTTATGTATGTTGTGGTAGTTCATTGAGTACAATGTCTCGGCGTGGTTCCCAATGCAAAATCTGGACTCGTGAAGACATGAATAGGTCATGAGGGAAACTAGCCTGGTCTTCGTCAAATTCCAATTGTGAAAGTTTCTATTACAGTGACATCAAAGTGAACACAGGACCTCAGGATGTCATTTGTGCTTGAGCTTGATAACGATAAGAGGATACTTGTCGAAACGTCGTCGTGCTTTTAGAATAAACCAGTGATTGTTTACCATAAATATTGTGTTCTGTTAATGTGTTGGGAATTGATTTGATTACATTTAATTGTTGTTTTTTTGTGTTTTCAGTTGGCATTTGAATCTCTAGCTGTAATATCAAATGCTTTAACTCTGTTAGAATCTGGTGATTTGGCCATTAGTAGGTGAGTACAATTGTAGTATACTACTTTCAATTAAACAAAATGATATTGTTATCATGTCAGATTAACATAATTGTCGAGGAATAATGTTCAGAGGATGTATTCTGAACCCAAACTGCTATGGAAGTATAAGACAACACAGTTCTATGGATAACAATCACTATAGAACTCTGTTGGGGGGTGGATGGCCAAATGGTTAGCACGTGCGCACTGTATCATAATGTCTGTCATTGAGTCAACTGGCGTGGTTTCGAATCCCCGGTTGTATGTGACAAGGAGTAGGGTTGCCTGTCCAACCTCATGAGTTTTCTCTGGGTCCTCCGGTTTCCTTCCACTGCTAAAGACCCCTACGCGCAAGCGAATTATTGAAATAAAATAGAACTATATGTTAGTCCCGAAATGAAATAATGTTTGTGTCGAGTGGATGTTAAACCCCATTTCTCCTCGCTATCACTGAAATGACCAAGTTTGTGTCAAGTGGATGTTAAACCCTATTTCTCTTTATTTCTCAAAAGAGTAGAATGATAGGAACTAAAACTTTGTATTTTCTATAACCATGTAATTATTGTATTCAAATCACTACATAAAAATTTATTGTAATTGTTTTTCAGTTTTGGAGAAAGTGTAAAACTCCTTCATTCATTTACCGATCAGTTCTCAAGTCAGTCTGGAGCAAACATACTTCATCAATTTACTTTCGAACAGAAAAAAACTAAAATAGCTCAGGTAAAGTATATGTGTATTTGCGAAAGGAATTAAATCAATTAGCCTTAATCAGTTGTCGATAAGAGTTATCACCCCTTCAGAATTTCTTTTATATATTAATATATGTTGTTTTATACTAATAGAAAAAGGAATGAAGATTAAAGTGTCATCAACATTGTACTTTAGACTAAAATACATTTTCATGTGGACGTATTATGCCGTTGCCCCTGTCTGTCCGACCACAATTTGTTTGTGGACACTCTACAGGTCACAATTTTTATCCAGTATTGACGAAATTTGATCCCAGTTTCTTTCTATATTGGCATGCATCTGACCATAATTCATGGATTATGGCCCCTGATTGTTTCAAAAATCACGTTTTTAGCTTGTAGACACTCTAGAGGTCACAATTTGGAGACTAAAATCCTTTTTTTTTTCTATGCTCATATGTAGGATGTTAGGAAGTGAATTGGGTCCAGACAGCAACATTTCTGCTCTTCATCGCATTCTAACTGGCAAGGTTCTTTTACATGCATGTCTTTCCAGCCTGGTTGGTTTTCTCCGGGTCATCCGGTCTCCTCCCACTGCTAAAGACCCATACGCGCAAACAAATTATTGAAATAAGTATCAACCATATGTTTGTCCCAAAATGACCTAGTTTGTTTGAGAGTAGATGTGAAATGCTATTTCTCTCTCTATCTTACATGCACTTCAAAGTGTACACAGATGGACTCTCTTCTGAAGGACTAGGCAACACTTTAATTCATTACTTATTTTTAGACGTAATTAAATCCTTTTTGTATCAAACAGATAATTTTTTTCGGTCTTTAATTTAGTTACTTCAACAAGCGACATCTATAATGGTGGATGCAAGAAGTCGTCAACACGGAGTAATAGGAAATCCAGAAACATCCCAGTTACTATTAATAGTATCAGATGGGCGTGGCTTATTTTCAGAAGGAATGGAGGTTGTGAAATCAGCTGTACGGAAAGCCAGAGATGCCAATATATTTCTTGTCTTTGTTATTATAGATAATCCTGAAAATAAGGTAGGCATATTTACAGGTGATGTCATGGTTAAACAGGGTGTCATGGTTACACAGGGTGTCATGGTTTTAAACAGGGTGTCATGGTTACACAGTGTGTCATGGTAACACGGGTGTCATGGTTACAAATGGTTTTGGGTGGCAGAGTGGTCATTGAGTCACGGTTACACAGGGTGTCATGGTTTTAAACAGGGTGTCATGGTTACACGGGTGTCATGGTTACAAAGGGTTTTGGGTGGCAGAGTGGTCATTGAGTCAAGCTGGTTTCAAATAGTGGTATCGCTCCATATGACACTTGTGTTTGAAGCTAAAATAAAGTATTTCTATATGGTTAATACTCCCCCTCCCCCCTCCCAAGACCATGTGACCTATGTTTACATTTGATTGGTTGCCTCTATTTACTGCTGTAACAAATCCAACATGAAATGGTGTTTGAAAACCCCCCTTCTCTAGTTTTATCTAATTGTGTTATAAATATGCCAGTTTGTGCCCTGTCCAAACTTTAAGCATGTTATATATATTATAATGTGTTGCCCAAACTGGCTAGAATAAACAAACTTTAATTCTGTACAAAATCAACAAAACCTTGTTGTTGATTTATCAGAGTTTTTGTTACACACATTTGTCCAATGTAAGATGGCTGAATGGTTTGTTCTGTACCCATCTAGAAATAAGCCAACTGATAATGGCAGATACAAATTAAAGAGAAATATCAAAAACGGTTTCCAAAATCACGGACATATCCATCTAGCTCACTGATAGTCCTCACACACTTGGTTCTTTTGGGTATGTCCTCATGTGTTGTCTCTAGGGATCACCACCGCGATGCTGGATTGTCAGTCTGGAACGTACGGAATAGCTAACATGTGACGCGGAATTCAGTCCTGTGACAGTTCTGTCAGTCCCTACACCGTTGGTAGAGTGAGTAGAATTGTGACGTAATTAAACACAACAAATATGTTTCAGCTGTCACGGTTGGTTGAAATATTTCCTCCTGCAGTCAGCACATGCTTTCTAGCCCCAAATCCCAAATTTCACTCGATTGTCATTATTTTTGGATTGGATAGAATTCAGTTCCAGAACGTTGTTCAATCGAGCATCGCCCATAACAAGCTATTGTAGTGCTCACTTTCACTTACAGATGGTTGATATAACAGATTGGGTGGCATTCAAATTATGATATAATCTAATATTATTTTGTTATTTGTTTGTAGGATTCTATATTAGATATTCGAGTACCGATATTTAAATCACTCGGAAAGGTAAGACAGTTTTAATCTATCCTCAATAAAATAAGAGGGGGGAGGGGCGCCAAATGTTCCAACGTATGCATTTTAAATCATAAGGTCTGTTATTAAATCAAGTTGGGTGTTTGCGATTTCCCGCTTGTATGTGACAAGGAGCCTTATGTCCTCCTGTTCAAATCCTAATGATATGGTTTTTTTAACGTCCTACTGTTCTGTACCGACCAGGCTAATGAAGTTGGACATACAGTTTGCTATGAGTGTAAATTTGCCAAGACAAGGTGCTATGCCCTCCTTTTATTTCGATTTCCAACTGTTATTACATTTTGATAAAATTATATTTTTCAGCTTCCAGAAATCAAGAGTTACATGGAAGAATTTCCGTTCCCATTTTATATAATACTACGTGACATTAATTCTTTACCAATCACATTAAGTGATGCATTAAGACAATGGTTTGAGTTAGTTACAGCTGGTGATAGATGATAACGCAATAAATCTCGACAACAAACACCATGGAGGGGAGATAACTATCGTGACCCAGAGATAAATATTGCAAAGGGATATTACTGTCTGGAAGGGGAGATAACTGTTGCTGTTGCAAAGGGGAGATAACTGTTGGGAAGGGGAGATAACTCTATTGAGAGATAAATATGATTTTATTTGATACTTGGAGGCAGACTACCATTAATTTCCCCATTGACTTTAATGTTAATTCTGGCCTCTTTACCCACCTCAAATTTTCCCAAGATTTGCATTGGGCTGAATGATTTTCACTACAGAGAAACAAATGATCATGTCTATGCACTGAAATTTGTATGAGATTGACCACCAAACTTTTGAGATACACAAACGTGAAGTAGCATACTGAAAACATGTAACTATTTGCTGTACATATCACCGTAACCAACCTATTTACCAAAACCAGGCAGAAAATATTAATTCAAACCATCTTCATCCATTCTAGACCAACAAAATCAACAAAAATGGGTATGTGAAAGGGGAGAAAAGAGAGAGAGAGAGAGAATTGCTATAAATAGACGAACTACAATTTGTGGGTACCGAGATGGTGAAATTTAATGGTGGTCTGCCTCCACTTGTCCTGTGATTTTAAGTGAAACTAGGATAATGGTTTGAATTATCTGCTACTAGTGTTTAGATAACTAAACAGATCATTTCACCATTATCAGAGGGGAGATAACTCATATATATAGAGGGGAGATATATGATATAAATACTGTCATTTACACATAATTTGTGTAATTATATGATAGACTAATAATCATGCCAGGTGTTTGATACCTTATGGCATGTATTACATTATGACATGTTAAATATGTATTATATTATGGCATGTTAAAGATGTATTACATTAGGACATGTTCAAGATGTATTACATTGTGGGTCATGTTAAAGATGTATTACGTTATGGCATGTTACAGATGTATTACATTAGGGCATGTTTAAGATGTATTACGTTAGGGCATGTTCAAGATGTATTACATTAGGGCATGTTCAAGATGTGTTACATTATGGGTCATGTTAAAGATGTATTACATTATGGCATATTAAAAATGTATTACATTAGGGCATGTTCAAGATGTATTACATTAGGGCATGTTCAAGATGTGTTACATTATGGGGCATGTTAAAGATGTATTATATTATGGCATGTTAAAGATATATTACATTATGTGTCATGTTAGAGATGTATTACATTATGCCATGTTAGAGATGTATTACATTATGACATGTTAGAGACGTATTACATTATGTCATGTTCAAGATGTATTACATTATGTGGCATGTTAAAGATGTGTTACATTAGGGCATGTTAGAGATGTATTACATTATGGCATCTTAAAGATGTATTACATTATGTGTCATGTTAGAGATGTGTTAGATTATGTGTCATGTTAAAGATGTGTTACATTAGGGCATATTAGAGATGTATTACATTATGGCATGTTAAAGATGTATTACATTATGTGTCATGTTCAAGATGTATTACATTATGGCATGTTAAAGATGTATTACATTATGTGTCATGTTAGAGATATTTTTAGGTTGAATATGTGTCATGTTAAAAGTGTGTTAAGTTGTTTGTTTTGTAAGATATGTTTTACATTATGTTTGTGAGATGCAGAACATGATGTTGTTAAATATATGTTCTGTTAAAGCTAATTTCAGCTCTCAAGATGTTTTCAATTTTTATTGTGTAAAATATTATGTAAATACATACGTAAATGAAGTTCTAAATTGTCTTAATTTGTTTATCAACATCCATCCCATTACCCCATAGCAGTGTTTCGTTTCATTGGACATAATCCTACTTAACACTTCTGTAATGATAGCAAATTTCTGTTCCAAATTATGACTGGTCAATGGTCCGATTAATAACCAATAGCTAACTGCATACTAGTATCATTCAGCTTTAAACAGATTTCTAAATTAGACAAAATATATTTACATAACGTTATGTCATGACTTACGAAAAGCATTACGCCCAATTAACCAGTGCATAGCAGAATATTGCAGAAAAACTAATTGCGTGACAAACGAGTCTATCGATATCAAAACATTAAAAAGTAAACAATACTGTTTGGAGACGGACAATACTTTCACCGTTTTTATACGCCCACATGGAAATGTGGTCGTATATTGCCGTCGGTCCGTCCGTCCATCCATCGTTCACTTGTGAACGCTCTAACGCCAAAAGTTATCATCCAATTGTTTTAAAATCGATATATGTTGTTAACATTAGTGAGGTGAAGAATCCTATTTAATTTCAATAATTTCTAATGAAACGAAGAAGCCTATTGAATTTCAATAATTTCCGTTTATTACGTCTAGAGTTATGGCCATTGTTTCACTTTGTTGAACCTTGTGAACGCTCTAACGACAAAAGTTATCAACCGATATGTATGAAATTTATATGCATCATTTAAATTAGTAAAACAGAGAAGCCTATTGAATTTCAGCAATTTCCGTTAATTACACCTTGAGTTATGGCCCTTGTTTCCCTTTGTTAAGTTAGTGAAACGAAGAAGCCTATTGAATTTCAATAATTTCCGTTTATTACGCCTAGAGTTATGGCCATCGTTTCACTTTGTTGAACCTTGTGAACGCTTTAATACCAAAAGTTAAGATCCGATCTTTGTGAAATTTATAGGCATGATTTGAATTAGTGAAACGAAGAAGTCTATTGAATTTCAGCAAATTACAATAATTACTTCTAGAGTTAAGGCCCTTGTTTCACTTTTTTGAACCTTGTGAACGTTCTAATACCAAAAGTTAACATCCGATCTTTGTGGAATTTATATGCAATATAATGTAATACGAATGTATATAAACTGATTTACATTCAGTCGTTTCAGTTTTGACTCTAATTTCAAATCGGCAAAATACACAAAAAGTTTCAATCAAATGACAATCTCTAGCGTCTGGTTATTTCAGCCTATACAGAGAATATTTATTGCGCGTGCCCTCCAGATAAGAATATGACGTCCCCGTTTGACATGACATGTAGAATGTGTCTAGGCTCGTTTTTCGAGTCCCTTGTTACAAGTTGGCTGAAACGCATTATGGTACACGATTCGTGTACCAATGGTAAAATCTTTATTTTGTCTTAAATATTGGATATCAGAAGCCCATAATTTTCCGGTAAGATCACAACATCAATTTTGATTTAAATTGACAAATAATTCGTGTTTTCAACTCCGAAGACTTTGGATGATATCGAGTTAGAGACTTAGCTACTTTAAGTTAGTGAAACGAAGAATCCTATTGAATTTCAACAATTTCCGTTTATTACATCTAGAGTTATGGCCCTTGTTTCATTTTATTGAACCTTGTGAACGCTCTAACTCCAAAAGTTTTCATCCGATCTTTCTGAAATTTATATGCATTATTTAAATTAGTGAAACGAAAAAGCCTATTGACTTCAGCAATTTCCGTTTATTACGTCTAGAGTTACGGCCCTTGTTTCACTTTATTGAACCTTGTGAACGCTCTAACGCCAAAAGTTAACATCTGATCTTTGTGAAATTTATATGCATGATTTGAATTAGTAAAACGATAAAGTCTATTGAATTTCAGCAATTTACAATAATTACTTCGAGAATTATTTTATGGCCCGTGTTTCACTTTGTTAAACCTTGTTAATGCTCGATTGATGAAAGTTATCATTCGATATGTATGAAATTTATATGCATCATTTAAATTTGTGAAACAGAGGTCTATTGAATTTCAGCAATTTCCGTCAATAATTTCAAGAGTTATGGCGATCGCGTGAACATTTGTGATCTGTATGAAATCTATATGCATTATTTAAATTAGTAAAACGAAAAAGCCTGTCAATTTCAACAATTTTGTGATAGAATACATAACTCTTATTTATTAAAAAGATATTTTAATACTGGATAACATATTTACAGGTACATATGAACATCATTTGTTTGGGTATAGTAACGTCTAGCTATAGCTGCTTCTCCTCGGCCTCACAGGACCCCTCTCTCCGGGGTCGAGGGCAGGCCCTCTCCCGAGGTCCGGAAGACCTCTAAGCCTCCACGGGTCTCTCTCCAGGTCTGCTCCAAGTCTGCCCCTCAACTAGGCTTTTTATATCGTGGAGCAATATCTGTCGCGTCGGCTAGGCACGCCATAGTTAATAGCATTAGTAATCAGAACCGGAGGGGCTGACAAGGAAAGCTGTCTAGTCGTTCGGATGGGACGAAAAACCGAGGTCCCGTGTACACATTGGCGTGCACGTAAAAGATCCCTTGGCAGTTGGAATTCGATATAAGAGTAGGCCGTAGTGCCGCTGTCCGGGCAAAATTTCCCTCATAGCACACTGTATGGCGTATGCCCGTCTTCATTAGCCCAGGTTAGGAGCAGAACAGTAGGACGTTAAACCCCATTTCATTTCATTTCAGTAATCAGAACAATGAAAAGTAATTATTAAGATTCACACATCTTAGCTTAAAACAAAAAGTGTCAATACGTGTTAAGCCTAAATCTTATATCATATACTTGTCTAAAGACAACCGAGCAAATAAGTTTGACAACCCATTATATCTTACATAAAACTATGTCATAACCTTCGTACCTGATGCAGATTAAATTTTACAATTAATCTGTCACATACCCAAAATGAGTTACAAATGAAAAATATAAATTAAAATATGAATTCAAAATACAATAATAAAATTTAATACAAATTATATTGTATTAAAATTTTCTGTAGATTAGTTCCACACTTGAGACCCTTGTTTTAGTTTGTAGAACCTTGTTAACCCACAAAATTTATAATCTGATCTGTGTGGAACTTTCTTGTAAAGGCCCCCATTACCTACAAAGGAATAAATATGCGACCGCCCGGACGATTTAGCTGCTGTGGGCGTATGTTTCGTTGCCTGGCATCCTATCTTGTTCTCTATCCATCTCTTGCAAAATGTGGGCGTATTCTGCCTGGCAGCCGCTGGTTAACTATTATAGTGAGAGTTGCCAGCTCTTTATCTAATCTCCCATAATGTATCTTTACGTTCCGTTTTAAAAGCACGTGGCGAGCGTGGGCGTCACACATGGGGGGATGCGGGGGGTCCGACCCCCCCCCCCCCAATTGTTTTTCGGGAGGGGGGGGGGTCTGAATATAAGCTTCTATCTGTATAAAACCTGTACATATCCCAATATGGTTTATACTGCTAAAATAATATACAGAGATAATCATCCTGGAAACATGTGTGAAGTAAAAAGTACCTGTGTTCCATAAAATTGTGTCTAGTTAGCCTGTCAGTAATATTTTGTTCATTTTTTTCTGCCACTTATCAGAGTGAATCGCATGTAGGTATCCAAAAACATAACCGTCTAAACCAAATATTTATCGCCCGCTCAGCCAGCAACGTAACCATAATACTTTTGCACGTGGTGTCTTGGTAGACAGCATGGCCACATGGTGTTTGTTTATATTTTTTAGAGGTTTTAAAAAATGGGTTAGGGTTAGGGTTGCGCCCCCCCCCCTATATATTTCACGGCTACGCCTCTGGTGTCGAGAATCCATTTATCTGATGTATCGAGTACCTATTTATCTGATGGTTTTTGTCATTATTTATGTATGTAATAAGTCTCTCGGGACATGTTTATTTACAAAAGGGCAATTTAATGACCGTGAACAAAATTGGAACCAACCACTAAAAAGACGTAAAACATGCTAATTATTCCATTATCTTAAAGTAGTATATTTTCTAACTGTGCTTTTAGTAAAATTATATTTAAATAATATATAATTATCATATAACTTATTTTGCTGGGGGGTCTACAAAGTCATTGCGTTTCGCGCATGGCAAACCACACGTTCCAAGTGACTGTACGTCAAATGAATGTTTTCTCCAGCCCTATTCATCGAGAACAAAGATTTTCTTTCAGTCGGTGAAAACAATAAATTATTCATCCTTTCAAGTTGATCGTGGCTAATGATAATTTTTGATGGAATGGTGTCTTCCATCTTTGGACACGCTGTATGGCTTATCAATATGGTATCATAATAAATGTTTTAGAAAATAATTTACAAATATTTGTTAAATGGGCAAATCCGATAATATTTTGGAGAATAAAACTGCTTAATTTTGTGCGAAAGTCCTTAAAAATCCCTACCTTAGAGTCGAGCAACAAACTCAATATCCGTGATAGGTTTTCATATAACTTAAACTCGTCAGTCTCCATCTGGAAATGGAGACCAGTGTCCCAAGCTTTATCATACGGCGTCCAGTTAAAACCAGACTTTCATTTTATAAAAATAACGTGTAGGTGAAATTGATCGTTCGTTGTCAAGTAGAGCACACGCATCACTCACTGTTTTGACCTCTAAAGGAACGGTAATAGTTTATCAGGTCACCCAACGAAAAAATTCACCCGAAATCCTAAATGGGTTACGTGTCCGGATAAGCAGTTTTGACGTTCACTTCCAAACGAAATTTTGAGACAAGGTAAATACACCATTCCTATATATTGTCATATAGTAATGATGATACTATATGTATTGTCCCTTTAATGTAAGGTTGTATGTGTGAGAGAGTGTACACTCCAGTGAGAGAGGTCAGTTAACTTGTGGTTTTCACTGTGTGAGGACATCATTTTGTGTTGTGACAGTTTTGCTAAGTTTATTGGAATAAACACCTCTAGAACTTATAAATACTTCAGTCATCTAATTATATGAATAGGCTAAAGGCCTATTCCACATGGTGGAGATGCCGGGTATATATTAG